CTACATGCAAATTGTTTTATACGTAGAGGTATGTACTTGTTACTACAGGGGGTATCATTCTGACACTTAGAAACTTTCCAAACAGTTTGGTTATCAACCATTACAACTTCCTCTAAACCCCTGTATCCAGGATTCCATAGTTCTGCACATATTTTGCTAGCACTCAAGTAAAACAACTTTCACCTGTCTGCACTGCTAAAGAAACAGCACAGAAATGAATGAGGCTGCCTTAGCAGGAGTTACTAATGATGAAACAGAAGGAAAATAAAGAAGATAGGCAAGCAAGTGTGAACAAAAACCTTGGGTAAAACAACGAGTCTTAGCACACAAGATGGAAAACCTGGTGACCTGATCTGTGAAAATGGCTTAGTGTATATATATATATATATATATATATATATATATATATATATATATATATATATATATATATATATATATATATACAGTGACCCCTCGTTTAACGAACACCTTGGTTAACGTAATTTCGATTAACAAACTGCCTTCCATAAGGATCTTCAATTCGGTTAACTAAAAAAAATTCGGTTAACGAAGTTCTTACGAACCGACCTCAACATGTTTTCGCTTGCACTGACCGGGTAACCAGCTTTAGTATCAGTCCGCCAATGCATTAATCGGTTCTAGGGCTTAAATTCCTTACTGTTTTAGTAAATATCAAGAAGTTTATACTATTCAATAATTTTAAAAGTTTAATATTCAATTTTTTAGTCATTTTAACAATTATTGAACATAATTGAAGGTAAAGTGACTAGTTTAATGCGCGGCATCCAGCCTCTTAACACAGCAAACAGGCGTTAGTCTCTCTCTGTTTTCACTGGAGGTAACATCTTGCTTGAGACTCTCTTCAACTAAACGCTTTTTTCTGTGTTTCCAAGCAAATTATTGGTCATTTTGAAATATATTTTACATATTGACAATATATAATGCAGTGCAGTGTTGATTTAAAGAAAATAATCTTGAATTACACCAGAGAGCTAAAATTTTATGGGTGAAATGGCGCCATGGGGTGACTTCTCTTCCACCCCAATGCCTTCTCTTCTTCCTTCTCCTCCACCCCCATTCTAAATCCCATCATCATCATCATCATCCAGGAGCCTTCTACATACACACCTCAAAGTAAGTGAACTTTTCTACCATTTTTGTTTAATTTAGGAAATTTTCGGTGAGCTGGAACCAATTACCCAAAAACCCATTGAAACAATGGTTTTGGTTAACGAACGACCTTCTGGAACGGATTGAGTTCGTTCACGGAGGGGTCACTGTGTATGTATGTATGTATGTATGTATGTATGTATGTATGTATGTATATATATATATATATATATATATATATCCTCCCTGACTTACAACCGCCTCAGTCGTACCAAAATTTTGTCAAATTACGTATTTTCGAGTCCCAACGTCAGTGATTGCGCTGTGTACTGACAAAAAAAATTTTGTAATTCACTTTAAAATGGCTGGCAAGCTTAAAAGTGAGAGTTTTGTGGTGCTGAGAAGAAAAAGAGACACCCATTTTCTATGTATTATTTAAGCATTTTCGACTTACGGCCTGGATTTGGGTCCCTAACCCCGTCGTAAGTCGGGGAGCTGTATACTATATATATATATACTGTATACTGTATATATAAAAAAGAAAAAAAAAGTGCTTCCATGGGCAACTGAAATTACTGGCTATATAGTATATGAAAAGTAATAGTGGCTTTATAACACTCAAGATCGAGGGTGAATTAAGGGCACTGCTAATATTGGTTCCTTCTTTAGTATAACTAGCCACTCCACAATGGTCTTGCTTATCCATCCATTTCATCCTGCTGTCCAAATGGAATTTTTGCTTGAACACAATTTTGTGCATTTTCATATGAAAACAAAAGTTCTTTAATCCCATTAATGAAAATTAATTTGTACCATGTCTTAAACATTTGTTAAACAAATACTGTACCTTCAATAATAAATTAAATCGTACAACATACCAATTATTTTAATGTACTGCAACATGAAAATTCCAGATACAGTATACTACACACAAGACAAATAAATGTTAATATTTGGAACAGGAAACACAGAAGGTAGTAGTTCTTTCAGTTATAATGCTAATTTGATATGAGAAATACAGAAGAGCTAGAATACTTTGAGGTGAACATTTTGAGAGATTTTCATGTACTCTTTCCACGGTATTTCACACACAGTTATGCTAGCCAGTGTTCAATATACAGAACTGTACTCATAATCCTGGAAAGTTCACTGATTAAAATGTTGCTTTAGTAATTATGAATAATGAATGACCAGTGTGTGAACTATGCACTAAGCAAACAGTGGTATCAACTAACACAACATGAAGCTTCCAAAATGCTAAAACTATAATTTAGTGAATGATCAAATTAGTAAAAGTACCATTTCATACATAATGGTATACTGAATAAACAAAGTTTTTCACTTTCCTTCTTCATAACTACAATACATACCAGAAGATAATGAAACATAGTCAAACTATCTCAAAACCGGACAAATAAATTTAATAGTTTCATATGAATAATTCAGAAAGCCCCAGTTCTGAAAACTGCAAAGCTAGCAAGTTACATTTTACATTACAGGGGGTCCCTGGGTTATGAACGTGTTCTGTTCCTAAGGACGTTCTTAAATCAGAAATGTACACAAGTCGGAACACATACCCTTCGTGCACCATATCAAAGCCTAAGTCGTTTTATACATATAGAAACACATAATTTAAGAGAAAAGAAGAAATTGAATGACAAAATATAGTAAAGGAAGCAAAACTTAAAGTTTAACACTTACATTGAAACCTTGGGCTGGCTGATCTTCCACCCATATCACTAACAATCTTTCCATTTCAATTAACAATCCACTTCTTTGTTTTGTTATCACAGCTAAGTGCATTGATGTCGAACCTTTTTTTAACTTCAAAAATTTTGTGTTTGCCTTTCAAAATTGATCCGACCGTTGACCAAGTGAAGTCCAATGCTTTACCAATGATTGAGGGTGTTTTGCCTTATTCAAAATGTTTAATTACAGTACATCAACTTTCACGTCCATTATAATTGTTTTCCTTTTCTTGGATGTACTTCTATTACTTGCATCAGGTTTGCATTTAGGAGCAATGATGAGGGGAGAAAAATAGAGTTAATAAGCAAAAAACAACAGTTTGCACATTATCACACACGTCACCGAGGTGAGGAGGGTACCGACGCTCCCTGAAGGCACGTAGCTGGGTGACGCATTACTCCCCACCCACCCCTGCCACTATGCCCTACGTTAATACTACGAACCAGTTGGATTCTATGTCAGATTCTTAAAATAATTGACCTTATAGGACCTCGTTTGTATTGGCAAGTGTTCGTAAGTCGGATATTCATAACTTGGGAACACCCTGTAGTACATGCTAAGTTCAATAGCATAATGAAGAAAAAATAAGGAGGCTATTACTATACACTTTAATAATTTCAAGAAATTATTTTTAAGCCATTTTAGTTATAATTTCATTATAGTAAGTGAGTGATCAATAAGACAGATGATACTCACATCTGAAATGGAATAGGAAGTTATAGTGGATAAACCCAAGAAATTTTCAAAAGATTATGAGCGTAGAAGGGTGATCAAGGCTTCTGGTACATTGCTATCCAGTACAGTTACTAATATTTTTCCAAAGATATAATCCTCATAAATTGCAGCTGTAGTCATTTAAAGTGCAGCAGCATAGATCAATTTGTACATCACCACACTACAGTTTCCAGGGAAATATATATCATTCTTTAAAACAACCTATATTCATAATGTACTACTACTACAGTACTACTAAAAAAAAAAAAATAATAAAAAAAAATAAAAAAATAAATAAAATTATCTTTTTATATACTTACAATTATTTGTCAAAACTTTTAACATAAGGCATTGGATACACATACCATTTAGTTACGTTATAGGAGAGAAAGAAACTTTCTCCAGTTCAGTACTGAGTAAAACTAATCAATTACAAAAAGTGGCCCACTATGCATGCCTATTTCAAATGTATATTATATTGTATATAGTCTACTGTGAATAGGGACAATGTTCAAAAGATCTTAAATTTACTAAAGAACAGGAGCAAACATTCAAACACTTACAGCTCAGTAAGAGATGACAAAGAGCTCATGTATACTGTGAAAGATGAAATGACTAATGTTAAAAGAAACATTTTGTAATCGTGTTGCAATTACCCTCAAAGTTATCAATGTGGTTTCAAGTAATCATTAACCAATTTCTTTATAAAGAAAAATATTTGTACATACTCACGCTTCTTCAATGAAGACTTGACTATCTGTAAGTAGACTTAACATACAATGAAGATATTTACAGCTCTGCTAACTAAGTTAAGGCAATAAATCTTCCCCATAACTTATTTTATGTACCATCCTTATCCAACAACAGTATGACAAGTAACATCCTAAATCATTACACTGGAAACAAACTCAAGAAATTTACATTCCAGGAACCCCATATGAAATAAACATGTCTTATTTGTATACTTTTAACTATGGCAAGAAAAAATTACACAATAGAAGTTTCCCAGTTTGTCACCAACACTATTTCATGATAGAAAAAGCTACTACTGCACTAATTAAAATCATATTAAATTGTAGGCAACATTTCTGCTGCAGTGATTTGCAATACAAACAAAAAATGCAACCACGTTGAAAAAGTGTGTATACAGTGCTTCATAATGTGTAATCACTTGATAAATTTGGGTGTAAAACGAGGAACACGGAACATAAAATCTATTAATCTCATTTGATCACACTATATTACTGCTAATACACAGGTAAACACCTATCAATCTACAATGAGTGCTTTATAAGTAAGGTATGGCACCTCACATCAAATAATGTGTACTTTTGTTTTTATCAAGTCCTTATTGTGTAAATTATTTACCATAAGTTACCTGTACTTTAAACAAAATTAACACTTTGGTTGATATATAAACTCTGTTGATGCTCCACCAGTTTAATTTAGTTACAGGTATTAGCAAAGATGCACAATATTGTCCAGAAATAAAACTAGACTATCACCTTTGCCAAAACCTTTTTAAATGGAGTGGAACATTTTCATCTACAGTATACCCTCACTTTTTCACAAGGTTACATCCCCAGAAGGATTATATAATAACAAAGTTGTGCAATTATGAATCCATTAATCACTGGAAAATAGATTTAGGATCTGGTAACCCTTAAGACCATCCATTATGAAAATTTTTATTCCCTATAAATCTTTTAGCAGCAATAATGATAAACCACACCATGTCACTGAAAAATAACACATCACCAGGTGGGCTAAGGCTACGAAAAGTGTTTAGTTGGACAAGAAAAGAGAGTTGGAATCCACTCATGTGTCCTGATGTCAGTTATATTTATGGTGAAGCCACTTCCATGGCACATTTAAACACTTTAGTGGCATACCTCCCCTCAGTAAATTTACCCGACTTCAGCTGTTCACATCATTGCCAGTCTCTCCAGAACACACATATACACCTCACTTAGTGGATTAACAATCCCTCAGGCAAAGTTACTTAATTTCACATTGCCTCACTTCTTCACCATGTAAGTGTAATGCACATGCTGCCCTGGTATAAGTGACCAGATTCTATCTTTATCCTGCAAATCATCGGTGTACAATGACTCCCCTTCATCTCCTCATGATATCATCTTGGCAAACCAAATGGATGAGTTTCTTTTACTTAGAAATTATATTCAATTGGAAAAGTCACCAAATTTATTGAGTTGATACAAACTACACTGTTAAAGACTGCATATTCACAAATATTTACTTTATTACTTTTTGGTAACTAAAATGGTAGTTGCCCCTCCTTAACACTAGCACACACTGATAAATCATGCTGGTACACACTAATTAATCCTTATACAGAGGATTAGGTTAATATGTACATACACTATGCAACCAACAACTTTCTTAAATGAATTGATCTAAGTTATTCTCAGGTATACAAAAAATAATGTGATCCACAATCTTTGGTTATACTTTACTTAGATGTGAACCTCTAAACAGCACATTGGAGAGGAGAAAAAAAAGTAAAAAAAAAAAAAAAAAGTAAAAAAAAAAAAAATAAATAAATAAATAAATATATATATATATCTCATTGGTTTCTATCTTGAATCTTATATGCACGTATCAGATGAAAAGACATGTTAACAGTAAAACTATAATCCAGTGTTTACCAAGTAATGGTTGTTAAATACAGTGTTTTACATATTTCTTTTAAGTTCTTACATACTGTATCTGCAGGTTTATATTTACTGGAATATTGTTGGTTTAACAGTAGTACTGAAAATTTGTTTTGGTGCTGGACCGGCTGATGTGGATCCACTATCATGGACAAGTGTTCCCTACAATTGACAATTCTTTAGTAATTACTGAATGAATCTAATTGTGAATTTCTCAATGGTCTGGCATGTATCATCCCACTACAATTTATCCTAAAAGGTTAATTATACTTTCCCAATTCTTCACTACTTCCCAATTTTGATATTTTTCTACAAATTCTGAGCACAAACTTCCTCTTTGTAAATACTGATGAGTTTTCTCAAGTGTAAGTAAATGACTGTTGCTTTACTTATTTGATAGCATAACAACGTACAGTACTAGGTTCATCAACATATGTGTTGATAAATGCTATTGGATTTTCAACACTTGAAGGCATGAAGTCGATCACCAGCTTAAGTGTGTGTGTGTGTGTGTGTGTGTGTGCCATCCTTAACTACATGTAAGAAAAAGTGATGGCAAGGTGATAAACACATCTAGTGTTCAACCACCACTGGGAAATAATTAAAAAAGAAATACTATATTGCATTTTCCTCACTTCTGAGAGGAGATAAGAAAGAACGAAGCAGCGGTTGACAGTTACATGATTAAACATTAACAACTTTCTCTAAATTAAATTTTCTTGGAGAGAGGGAAAGAGAAAGAGAAAAACACTTGCACATATTGTACTCAGGTTGCAGTACTACAGTGTCAGACTCAAGAAACTGGTCCCCTCCAAAAAATCTATCTTTACTGGGCATTTGTTTTCTCATTTTCCTATAACACAAAGGTGGGAGAAAAGTTGTTAAGTAATTAACACCCAGTAACACTTACGGTCACCAGGCAATTATGTCTTGCCAAGCTCACTGGACCACATGTCGTACACTTTGCTTAATACAAAATCATGATTTTTCTCAGGGTACAATACTAGATGTGCATGATATGAATTGGAATGGTACAATGATTACATGATGGTGATATTTCTTTTAAAATAGATTCATACCAGTGGGGTACATATGACAGAAAAAACTAAATTATCTGATGATCAGCTGAGAAATTACCTAATAACACCCAGTGAGAAAACAAAATAGAAAAAAAAAAGACTTTTCATGTCATTTGTCACTCAAAAAATTAAACACAAAAAGTATTTGGTATCTATTCCTAGCTGAAATACTCCATGCTTATATATATCAGGATTTTTAAGCATGCTATCTTGAGCTAAACAAATATGTACAAATAAGACTTCCAGGAAATACAAGGAAGGTTTGCACAAGGAAAACCCCAAAAATTAAAATGGTCAAATAACACAGGATCAACAGCTTAGGAAATTTAGTTAATCTGAGATGAGTGACATCCATGTGCTGTGCACAATTGTTGCCTTCTTCAAGGATTTCCCAACAGTCTGTAAGAAAATAAGTGACAGTTTAGTGCAATACAAGATGGAATATATATATATATATATATATATATATATATATATATATATATATATATATATATATATATATATATATATATATATATATATATATATATATATATATATATATATATATATATATATAAATGCATATTGATGTGATTTCATGTTATTTTGAAAAATTTATTGTTTTTTTCTCATGGGAAGCATGGCAACAAAAATAACACAAAATTGTCTTATGGATAAACATACAGTAAGCCCTGATACAATGGACACTGTTTATAATGGGTCTCGACTTTAACGGACCCTCTGACCCGTTCGGACTAAGTTCATATATTACTCGGGTCCGCCATAGAAAAATTAATTGACTCGGATCCATTACGGTGAAAAAGTTAGGAATACAATTACGTGAATTACTGAAAAATCCAAATTAACTGAGTTCGGAATATTTTGACATTTCAGTATTCAACAATTTCCCCGAACATTTGTTTGATAATTCAATAATTTTCTGTTCAGATTGCTCCTCATTATTCTAACCAACAAACATACTCAGTTACCATGCCTTGGCTGCCACATAAAACATTCTATATGTAATTACACTATACCCTCATTAATTTGACCAAAAGGGGGATCTGGATCACTTGAATTATTGAAAAAATCAAGTGCTTGAGAAATGGTGGGTGCTGGTAACATTGTTAGGGAGAGCAGGAACGATCAGCTCTAGTGGTGATACACAACCCTCACATATACAGTAGTTGTGTTAGAAGCTCGGTAAAATGTTCAGAGTCACTTTGGACTATGTTGCTATATAACGGACCAAGCCAGTTATTATTCCCGAACCGGATATAATGGACTGGCCTTCCCCCAATTAGTATGTTATATCGAGGGTTTACAGTATGCCAAAAAATATCATATTATCACAAAATATTTAAGTAATGAGGGTTCGGTGGATACATATAAACCTATGTTTTTTAATATACATGAAAAAATACACTTAAGAGAACAAGGAAATATGAATGTTACTGACCTGAACTTACTCTAAACAACACTTAGCAGAAACAGAAGCACAGTGTTTAGTTTTTCAATTTTTTTCCTCTCCCACCTGAAAGTATAAGGGCAATAATATTAGTAATTTAAACACCATTATAAAACGCACAAAACAATACCAATCTTCCATCACACAAATTCATAAGATTAACATGTACGTTCAGGTATAATGCATCTTGTTCAGCTTGATTATATTACCAACATTCTTCTTTATGAAACTTTGCAGCTGCTTTGATAATTTAATTCAAACCTTTAACATCATTGAGGGTTTAATTATCTTCAATAACCCTGTATGGAAATTATCAAGTGAGGTTTATTATGGTGAACAAGTGTAGATTAATACAGTATAACCTTTTTCTTTTCTATTTTTAATTTCTTTCTGTTCTTATTTTTTCGCCCCCTAGGCCCATTGTGGGTCGTTTGACCTGTGCCCGGGTGGGCTAATTCCCGTATAAATTATATATACATTTCAATGGCAGTCATCTATTGGGCTTACACTGGCCAAAGCTTTACTGCCATTATACAAATGTTTGGCATAGTGAGTGTCTACCTACTATACATCAAGCCCTCATATCATCCATGTTATGTAGGACACATTCCTCTTTTTCAAATCAGTTGATGGCATCCTAATATTTCTCATTCTTATGAATTCTCTAAGTACAGTACACACATATCACTCCCACCTCCAAGGATAAATTTAATGGCTCTCTAATTTCTAGATATAAATGGTGAATGAAAAGTTGGTCTTGAAATGTCAATTTGTATAAACCAACTTTCACTAAATTCTCCACTACAATTTTTTCCATCTTCCACATACACTTTTTAACATAATCTATCATTCACATAGACAAATATAACAAACAATATTTTCTAAAAAATATTCAAGAACAGCAATGAACTGTAATTCTTACTCAAGTGTCTTTTTTATTAGATAATATGAGAGAAGCTTAAAATAAAATATTAAATTAGGTACAGTATACATGAATTAGGGAAGGCTAGGTAAGACATGTGAAAGTACAGAAGAGTAATCTCCCCATTAGCTAGAATTTTCGATCTCCAAAACTTTCCAATAGTCGGAATGAATTTTGAGCCTTCAAAGATATTCCGGAAATACTCTCTCCAGTATGGGTATGGGAACAAGTTTTCAAGGTTGAAATCATGTGTTTTTTCGGAAAAATTCTGAGAAAATCTCTTCATTCCCCACATGGGAACAAAATTTCCATTAGTTCCTAGAGATTGCAATAATTTTCTGACGTGTCCTGGGCGGGTTAGCTGCTTGGGTAGCATAAGCCGTAGCCACGTGTGCTTAGTTCATATACTGCTGCCACTGTATTGTCAACAAAAAAATTTTCTGCACCTTTATGGTGTTATACAATATGACACATCAGACCAAGAATTCTGAACAACACTCATTTATGTGGGTGACTCCTGTTAATTTCTCTGTATTAACTATAAGTGATATAAAAAATACATCATACTGGTTATACAATGCATCACACAACCAGAAATACCAACCTTACCGAATTAACATGGCCTCAGTCAGTGATCAATGCAGAAGCCATCAGACCAAGGGGGGCCGAAAATTTTTTTGCTGACTGTACAAGATTTTTCCCTCACTCGCTCCTGTTTTTGCATACAATTTATGTTGTACAGTACTGTACATTACCGTACCAGGACACACTCAGCCAAGAACAGTGTTAAGATGTAAAAAGTGATTACAGTTATGTATACAGTACTATACATTCAGTAAGTGTGAAAATATTGTACAATGAGTGGACAGTATGCCTACTGTATACTAGCGTAGAGGTGTATGTATAGTGTACAGTGTGTGTACATTGCCCCATCACGGAGGGAGAGGAGAGTGACCATGGCTGATATTACCTTGTGTGGGAGATTCTGGAACTTTCCTCTTCAACATACCCATCGCCTCGATCATCTTCTGTGAAGGTTGTCTCCGTCGCTTGCCAGTGTCTTCTGCAGTACCATCTACAGATTCATCTGCATCTTCATCTCCAACCCCTTCAGCATCTACTCCATCTGTGGCTCCAGATGCAACACCAGCTTCTTCCTCTTCTGTTACATCTCCAAGGCATGGCATAGATGCACCAACCTACATAAGTAAACAAAATCAAAGCTACAGTATATGAGAGAGAGTCCTCATTTTATGGACTCAGTGTTCGTTAATATGCTATGTACGTACTTCCAAACTGGATACTGTACAGGTACAGTATTTGTAAACTGGGTCAATAAATCCTACAGAAACAACAAAATAAATAATTAATTGGTCCCCAGACACGAGTGAAAACCACATTTTTTAAAATAAAAACATTAACAAATACTCTGAAAATAAAATACAGAAATCAAATAATTTTACCATGGTCAGTGGTGCTTGGTTTATGCTTATCACTCATTTTTTATGGTAAAAAAAAAATAAAGTAAATCAATAAAAATCAATGCAAAACCACAATGTGTGTATGGTGCCAATCAAAACAAGCAGATGCATTATGTGATGACACTTGTGTGCAAAAGTAACAAGCAGTATACCTGTAGTGTTCATCATCCCACATTAAAGTGTCTGATTCGTGCATTTCACCAATTGGTGGCAATGTTCGAAAAAGCTGTGTGTGTGTGAGCAGAATGAATGTTCAAAAGCCCAGAACATATGACTACGTAAGTACTGTATAAACATACAGTACTTACGTATGGGTGGATGTTTGTATGCCAAATGTTAGAAATCTTAGGTGTGCCCATATAGTACTGTATATTGTTTGATAGGTTCTTGTCATTGTAGCCATATTCCAAGATGCTCCCAGCATCGCAGATGTTATATAGTATACAATAATGCCATTTGTAGTGACATTCATGTGCATGTACCACACCATTAACTGACCATTGAGTCAAAATTCTTTAAGGCTGGAGAGCATCAAAGTTTATACCATAGGGTGTTAGGGATTTGGTCTGAAACTTTTGGGGCTAGAACTCATCCCAGCTTTTAACATGGGATCCTATGGGAAAATGGGTCATTGAATGAGAATTCACCTTTAGGAGCACCTTTACATTAATGCACTTTGCTCATTATGCAAGACCTGACTGTAGTTAATGTCTAAAAATGCAATCCATGTGTAATCCGGGGTGGTGGGAGATTATGTGTGGGTGTGTACATGTGTCCCATATTAATATAAATTTAATAAAGGAAAAGCTGTGAACTGCACCAAGCAAGATGACAGTTGATGATGGAAATTGAGAGGCATGTGCAAGCTATTCAGCATAACCAATTATTTCTTACCTCTTTAAGGAAACTATCAGTTTTAATCTAACATTTCAAGGGCTATGGCTGCAACAGGCAAGACATACTAATTGTATACCAGGGCTGTAATCAACAAACTCATTGATATACAATAAATTGGTTTTCATGGACTGATGCATGGTAATATACTGTAGATAGTCTTCCTGAGTCTTCAATTAGACTTGGACATTCAACCAAATACTATACAGAAATCCCTGTATATATAATGTATCAGGGTCTGTTCTATATTACTGTATGTTACATGCAAATTGCAGTATATTAAAAAAATAAAAAAAAAGTAATTTAATCCACAAAGCCTCATCTCCGTAAGATCAACCTTCGCCTCATATAGCCTCATGTTATAAAGTGTAAATAAAAAATACATTTGTGAAAATACTACTCACCACTACACCGCTTTATACACAAAAAAATGGCTATCCGCCACCCCCTTTGTCACTACAAGTCTCCCCACCACCGGTCCACCAGTCATATCTATGCAACATTCACCTCATCCTCTCTACTACTACAAAGCCCCATGTTATATATATATATGCTGATAAGCACAAGGTTATCAGCATATACCTGGATCACGCGAACCCACAGTGATTTACTTGCACACACACACACATATATATATTTATATATACAATATATATATTTATATATACAATATATATATATATATATATATATATATATATATATATATATATATATATATATATATATATATATATATATATATATATATATATATATATATATATATATATATATACTGTATATATAAATGAAGCCATAAGAGATACATAGTGGAGGCCTGTCACCACATTTAATACAATAGATATATACAAAATGTTGCTTTCCATAAAAGACTATTTCCTTTTTATTCATCCTTTTCTTGATGATTACTGGAAGACATACACCCATCTGATGGCCCCTGTGTTTGGGAAGTACATGGACAGGGACAGGTACTGACAGCATTGTCCTGACTTAAATTTGCACTCCTCATAAGGCCAGCCCTATCAAGTCTAAGTCTAGCTGGAACATGCAGTAATGCCACAATCCACCCAACCTCCCACCTGGTCACATACAAAGTATCTTCCCTCCCATTGTTTGGGACTCTTAATAGGTGTACAGCAAAACTAATACACCATTGTTTTCAGAGAGCATATATTGTCCTTTTCATAAGAAAATTTTACCCATTTTTTAAAACTTTCAGCTTTCCCCGTCAGAGCATATACTGTAGTCTACACCAAAAAATTGCCATTATTTAAGGGTTATTGTTCTTACTTATAATTATTTTCCTTATTACATTCTAGTGTATTCATTCTTCCCACGTTCAAGATGCTATACTCACAGTACACAAAAACATTGTAATACTACATCAAATTACTGTACATCCAAAACACTAAGTCTGAACTGGAGATTCTCCAGTAAATATAATTAAATAAAATTAACACAACACAAGAATAAATGTAAGCTCAGTGATCATGCTGTTGCTTTGACAATTCATGACTGTGATATTTCAGGATTGGAACAAGTTAGTGGTGTAGAGTTGCCAAGAAGAATTATCTCATAAAAATTATAGGTAGTAATGAATATTACTTAAATAGAACAATTCAGATTTGAAGAACAATACACAAAGCATGAAAGCACATGAAAAAAAATAAAATAAGCAGAATCACTTCTAAAGCTTACCTTGGCCGGTACCTGATTCTTGTATGTCTACAGTCTTTCTTAAATTATTTTGGCAAATAATTGATTGTACTGTATTAAGTGAAAACGTAATCCAGTGAATTTTTTTTAAGAACAGTTATGGTAGTAACTACAGTATACCTATAATTCTCTTGAACAGAACAACCCCAAGTCTCACTGCCAACACACTGGCAAGTAATGTACAGTAACATATATGACTCATTGTTGATTGAGAAAGGTTGTCTCATCTCAATGAGTTGCTAATTTGGAGAAAATTTTGGTCGAATTTTTAAGACCTACAGTACAGTACGTTAGTTTTTAATTAAATATACCAATACATAATTAGTTCTTTTACTATTTATTCATTATTATAATAGACAACTAAATATTCAATTTCAAATTTATTTCCCCTGTGTGGTTCATAACTAAAAACAACAAAAAGCAAGCAAATGATGTAGCTGGCATGTGGAGTTGTCAAACTGTTATTTTGTAACAAACACTGTACTGTACACTACTGTATAACTGCATATAAATTAAATTATGAAAATCTTACCAGTAAGTGTTCAGTATTTTAAACTGAGTGACTTCTAAATAAGGTACCCTACACTGTGTTTACTGTAAAAATGGATGACTTTCTTGTCATAATCTGCTCAAGATCATAAACCATCTCTGATGGGATGACACATGACAAATTATGATGAATAAAAATATAGGGCCACTAAACATTTGTACCAAAGGACAGCAGTTATATTATCCAGGTTGATAGTCTGTTATTGTCCAGGAAGTGGGGGTCATCTGGGTAAAATTGCTGAACACTTTCACCCAGAACAAACAAATGATCATGGTAGCTTAAGGAGGGTGACAAGTTGCCTGCCACACATTGCTATTTTAAAACAAATTACCTGTAAAAGTAAATTAAACATTAAAATCATAACTTTATATGACGTTCAATACTTTGCTTACATTTTCGGTTTTTAGATACAGTACTTCATGAAAAAAGCATATATACTGTATATGAATTATTCTTTGATTTTAATCATATATATAATGATCACTGGGGATGCTTTGGATGCTTCATCTGTTTGGTAATTTACCTTTGCTTTTAGTGTAAAATGTTAAATACCATTTATTCAATATAGCATCTGATTTAGAAGGAACTCTTTGGAAGGAAGATTTTATATCTAACGAGGAAGCCTTAGCTATTTGAAGGAGAAAGCTACATTAATATTTAAATTTTGGTGTCAAATATGTGATCCAATGACTTTACTTACACTGTAGTAGTGTACAGCCATAGAGTAATATTAAGCATTTATGAACACATGAAGACCAATTGTAATTCTGCTTATACCATATGGTATATTCTCAAGAAAAAGATACTGTACATAATTGACAGTATGACATACTTTTCATATTCTCCAACAAGTGTCTGCCCCATGTAGTTCAAGCTTACATGAGAAGTACATCTCAGTGGTGAAAGCTTTGTTATACAGTACCAGAATTCCTGCCATTCTGGACTGCTCCATACCTAAATAATTGAGTTTACAAGGCAAAGTCCTACTGTACTGTACTGGGGTATGCCATTTCAACATTTTCTGAATTTTATACTCTAATCTTTGGTTCATACAATATTCAAAATACAGGCATTCCTCTTGTGAATTTCTGGCCCTTTTGTATCTAAACTTTCTTGAATTTACTCTCCATATAAATAAAATGGAGACTAAGAAAATATTAATGACGTAAAAGACTGCATATACACTATCAACTACCTCTGTTCGGTCATCTGTTCCATCTCCATCAAGGCTTGGCATGTCTGGTCCAACCTAGATTGAGGAAAGTAAAATTTGTTACTTAGATATAATGTACCTTTAGCTTTTTTAAATAATGTAATGGTACCATAAATATACCATAAAAAATGAAAATTTCAACTCCTCTAATGTCAAATAATTAATTTGTCAATACCAATTTTTTCCTAATGCCTTCTTCCTATTTACAACACTGCCCTTACAATTTTTTTGGAACACTTGCATAAGCCACTCATTACTACAGTACAGCAAACATCAAAGCACTTCGTGTACAAGATGCCTCACACTAAACCAATCAGCTCTTCTAATATTTGTGAGAATATTTATAAACGAGACAGCTGCCATCAGGTGATCACTGCTGACCCACGCAAGTATGGAAAATGACTGTAAAACAGTTATGATGATAATAATGATGATACTAAGAGTTCATCTCTCCTGGTATATATACAGCATACAGCTTTTCTTCTATTTATGAACTTTCAGCATTCAAAATTTTACATTGAGAAAATAAGACAAATTAGGGACCTTTTCTCAATGCATTTAAGCAATTTTCATGTTTACGAAATCCCTTGCAGGTATGAAATTCATATGACATGGCAGAAAGGAACCACTGGTACAATGCATCTCAGCATCCCCACGTGTCACTGCCTAGCATCCTGCTGAACAGTGTTGATTGTTCACTGGTGAATCGCTGCCTTTGTTTCATTGATCATTTTTTAACGGACATCACTTTCAGTATGAGTTCTAAAATTCTAAAAGGGAATCATCTTCAGGGAATATACTGGAAAAAAAAAATACGTAAATAGTTTCTCAAGCAAGTGAGGGTTGTGTGAAGGAAAAAATATTGCTTTACCTGAAATTGTACAGTATAAACAAGTTAAATACAGCATAGGTATACAAAATTATGCAAATATATTCCACAACCTATACTCTACTACCCCAGACCCGTGTTGACCACTACTTAAAGACACACACATACTGCAGTAAAATAAAACATTTCAAATACTTTTAAAAAACTGACCCATAAAAGGAGACAAGCTCATCACTAAGTGTGTTCTTTCCTGCCCACTTTTATTAAAAACAATAAATGTTGTATAAATGGTAAAAAAAAAAAAATCCATATACCGTAATGTTTTCTTCATCTTACATGCCTAGTGTACAGTTGCACTGGAAAATATTTTACCCTTTACCACTTTTTATTAAAAAACATTTCAGCATCCTAAAATGGTTTAACATATTTCTTTTAACTGAATAATTGTTTTATTATATGTATTTTATACCTCTTTACCATTATCAATACTGTACTGAATATTTCTCAAATGGATATTATATACATGGTTTCAGAGTTGGAGATGTGTTGGGAAGACTACACTGAATACATTCCTAAATTTCCCCTCTAAATTAATTGGAAAGTCATCCTAATTTACAAAATTTCAGCATCTGATTTTTATTTCAAAGGATTGCATCCCTTTCATGAAAAACTGGAATAGCTGTACAGTATATACTAAAGGCTCTGCACCCGAGTTGGGAGAGTATTCACTACATTGAATGGTCACAGGGTTGATACCTGACCAGAGGGGAGGATTAGTCTTCCTCCTTGTACACTAGGCCCTGTCCACTCAGCAATAACTAAAGTGCACTATTTGGAACACTTGTCAATGGGGGTACAGCTTTTTGGTGGACTACCAGGGTGGAATAACCCATTTGCTACTGAATGCTTAGCATCAGGTCAGCACCTGTTTGGCCATCCTGCACCATAGAAGGATGTGTGTGCACATACATACAGGCATATCCATGTGTGTGTACTGAGCCAGTCTTGGGAGACCATTTTATAGTTCACAAGTCTGTGGGGTGGACATCATGTTTCCAAGGACCCAAAATTTGTGATTAAACATTAAAAAAAAAATTTTCAATTAGATAAATCCTTCCTAACAATACTCAATTCCTTGAAAGGAGATACAGTGGAACCTCTATACATCAGACCCCAATACTGTACAGTGGTAGTCAGATTTGCTGTAGGCCCAATGAGAACTACTGTGTAAGTAAACAGGCTTGGGGTGGTAGGGGAACTGAGCGTTGCCACATTCGCCAGGTTTGTTTATTGATTCAGGTTTATATTCTTGTATGATTAGCCTCTAATGGTGTGTGATTCATCACGATTAATATAACATCTTCAATATTAGAATAAGTTAAGTAAGCAATTTATAATTTAACTTGAAAATACAAGAATAAGCTACATCGGAATGCATTCACTCAGGATGCGTTCATGGAGTGAGAGCTTTCAGCAAATCAGCTTACAACAGGGTCACTATAACATACTGTATAGTATTTTATATGAATATACCTTCCTAACAACATTATTTATTACCGATCAGTGATACACGTAAGCTTGATTTGGCTACTTGTACACTTACACAACTGATTAATGAATGAACAAGGAATAAACTGTCTTATTAATAAAAAATCCTCCTAATCTTCACTATTTAGTGTTTGAGTTACACGTTTTTATTTACATAACCATTTTCCAGAACGTAATTATCATGTAAATCGAGGTGTGCCAGTATACAGTACTTTACAGTACTTAAGAATCATATCCGTGAAAACAGTTGTTGATAACCAGACTTAGTCTGATTTTCAACCCAGAGTTCTCTCCCACATATTTTTTTATTGTAGATATAAAGTGTTTTACAAACCTTGTTATGCACTTAAGAACCTTAGTTGTTGAAGTGCAGTAATAACATTATTGTATAACAACAAATGATTTTCTTGAATAGTTTGTGGTGCATATGGCTGGTGGAGTTGGTAATGTACAGTTGGGGTCAAAAGTCTTGAACACTTAGCAATATCTGGCATCTACTTCCGAGTTATATATATATGATTGGGATATACTAATAACACTACTTGTCATCACATATCATGCCAGAACCACAAAATGGAATAAAACTCTCCTTAATAACTAAGATCTTCGGGTACTTACATGCCAAATACTGTCAAGTGTTCAAGACTTTTGACCCCGACTGCACATATGGTATATTTCATTGGTGTTAGAAACAGTTGGTTGTGGCGGGGACCACCTGATCACCCAGAGTGGGATGAGCTCATTCAGACAGCAGGACTTCTCACTAGGACATTAACTCACCCATTAATATATCACCAGCACACCACACCAACATCAAAACACAAGAAAATCCACATGTACCAGGTTGCAAACAGCCATGGTCTGGCATCTATGTGGCAGACCAGAATTTTTCATGAATAACCATTAATGACACCACATTACAGAAAATACCACAAAGTCCTTCCAAATCCGACTTTTAGAAATTTCAGGTTAGTTGAGAACTCACTGATAACATGATAATTTATGCTTAAGTCAGTGATGAAACTTTCCCATTACTTTCATTATACTACATAACAATAATGTCATTACATTACATTACATAATGTATGCATGTCATATTAACTAAATTAGCTAAATGTATATTGTATTTATATTTTTGTGCTCACCTTTAATAAACCAAACATTTCTTTCTTAGTTTTTTCTTATTTCAACTCACTACAGTACACACATTCTGGCACAAAGATACAACCTAAGGATCTCAATCTTGACACTTAGGTCACATTTTACTTAGCTGGGAAAACAAGAATTGCAAATTTCACCGATATGAATTGTGCTGGGTTTTACTTTATAGAATGCAGTAGACTACACCAATACCCACAATGAATATCTCTCTCTCACACAATATATGAAGATGGCGAGAGTGAGAGAAAAATACATATGGCTATAATATCTGATTCATGTGGGTTAAACTATTTTTTTATTTATAAATTTCTATTTTTAATTGCAAAGGATGGAATTCTTGCACCCAAGCCACAACAGAATAAACATTGGCAATGTGTACTAGAAAAAAAAGTACACATTAATAAATAATTACATATCACTTTAAAGTTGAGTTAAGCAAAGTACTGTACAGCAAGAGTTGGATATCAATCAAGCTCTTACCCTTTCATTAACTTTGCTCACTGTACTGCATCTTCAGTGAAACTCTTTGTCCCCAAACAATTCCACAACAAAACAAAATTATCCTCCACTTACCTATACACCGTATCAACAGTCAACTCCCCACAACCTTCCAATGTTCTACCATAAACTACCCATTCACATCATATATCCTAAATGTCTATATAATCTTCATCAATTTAGATCAACATATCTTATAATCGGCTTCTTTATATTACATATATTTCTTGAATTATCATCAAAAATTTCAATTCTCTTTAGCCCTTCAAGAAAACCATAATTAAACTCTTTTTTACCAATCTTTCCCTTCCCATTCTCTCATCAGGTTCATAGCATCATCTAAACTCCTGACCAGCTCTGTCTAACCCTTCTTATGGTCCACATCTCTTTTTAATTCCAGCCTTTTATTTTTTGCATCCTATTCACCCTATATACAGTACTAGGTGCACTCTCTCTCACTCACACCCACCCACCCACATTGGTGTTTTAGCTGAAATAACAAAAATAATATAAAAGATAAACTTGAGCATGAGCTGCTACAGCTTGAAAATTCAATTAGATTGGTCTCAGGATGTACAGTATATATGTAAAAAAGCCTCACTCATTCATGTACCAAGCCTATTGATAACAGAATGTCTCATTGCAGTTTTTTGCAGTTTCACTGAGCGCACATCTTTCATTCTTCCATTCAATACAGTATCCTCTACCCATTCATTATTACTGGCCAATTGTAGTATACATAAGCTTACTGCATTAGCCAATATGTTCTGCTTTGTTTGCTCACAAATCTCAATGTTATGTCTTTTCCACAGGACAGTTTAGATATTGTGTATTTGTCTCATTATTCTTCTCAGCATAGTATTCTTAAACATCTATAGTCTCATCATCTTTTATAGCTAAGGTCAACATTTCACATACATAAAATACAGTAGGCTTTACAATCATGTTACTAAATGTAAATGTTACAGCTCTTCATGATAGCATCCACTTCCACCTGCAATTCTTTATTAATCTACAATCAGTACTTATTGTGTAATCCTGGTAACAAATTTAAGTGCAAAATAAATATCAACATAGACAGGCGCATGGAAATCCATAAGACCCAGCGTATAATCAAAGACAAAAATTGTGTCGCGGTTTTCTGCAAAGATTAAATAAAACTCTTGAAACATATGAGAGCCCCCTACCACAAGGCAGAGCGCAACAAAAGTTTAGCCCTTTGGCATATGTTTTCACCAAATTTCACAACACAACTTCTGTCTTTCATTGTACATTCAGTAGGGTTATTAAGACATGCATTTACAAGAGGTGAACTGAAAGCTGCAAATGATCAATGAGGTGAGGGTGAAAAGGCAAAGTGGGACAAGCAGCATGTGTGCGAGATAACTTCAAGAATTAGTAAGCATATAAGGGTCTGTGATGATGAAGTTAGGGTAAGCCTACATGTTAAATCTGGCTGAAAAGAAGTACAGGGTAATGTCATATCATTAATTAAAGATATGTGAATCTAGCTTCAGTTTATTAACAAAATGATATACTGTATACACTAATCAATCTTTATTACAATAAAAAAAAATTATTTAACTTACTTCAGTTGCCTCTTCACTAGAACCATTCTCATTTTCTGTGGGTTGTTTTTCTCCAAGTTTAACCAAAGACTCCACAACACTCATGGTTTCCAACGAGCCTGTGTCCCCTACAACAGCTCCACTTGATGTTACAGGAACTCCGCTTGGTTCCTGTTGGTGTTGATTAGAGCTCTCAGTTGCCTGTCCAACATTAAACACAATTTAGAATCCCCTTTCTTCTTCCTCACTTACCCTTTCCTCTATTTTCTCACCAAATGGTTTTCCAAACAACTTTTCAAATTTCCAACTCTAACTCTCTTTCCTTCTCCCTTAACTTTCTTCATGGTATATAATCAGTTTCAAATATGGCCCTCTGAGAAATACTACGGAATTTCATTATGGAATCTGTAACTACCAACAGAGGATGACAAAAGCAACTAAGCCACCAACCACCCAATGCTGGTTAACATGGACTAAACATTTATTGTCAGAACATACAGAGCTCCTGTGAGCTTTTAGCGATCATGATTTCCAATTCTCAAGCTTTGACCTAAACCTTCATTACCTCCACCAGGCAGGTGCCTTTGTGACAAATGTAATTCCATGTCAATCAGCATGGGAGGAATAATGCCTACAATGAATGGTGAAACTATGTAGCAGGCAAAAGAAAATTCTATTCATAGAAAAATAACTCTTCACACCCATACAAAACACTGGATATCTTTTGATGTTACTGAATTGTTGCTTGTAGCAATTTATAGATCAGCAATATATATACAGGTGTATACTTAACTAGTTGATAACAACCTCTTCTCACAATTAAGAACTTTTGTAATACAGTACACAGGTAGTTTCTAAGCTATACAACATAATACAATGTGTAATATTCTATGCAAGAAAAAAATCTATAAGGATTGTAAGTGAATGGAAGACTGAAACATGAAATTCTATTTTGCAGCTGAGGAGAGGAAACAGGTAACTTGCAAAGTATCTTAATTAGAACACCCACTGTTAGTACCTGCCATGTCAGCAGACTTGACATGTGCTAACAGAGTAGTTTAAGCTGTAGGAGCTGGCTTGGGGTTTGATACTTTGCTTTAATCTCGGTTTAATTGGCAAAGAAATGTTGAACATCTTGCATTGATCCACCAGACAATGTTACCTACCATTAAAACAGTGTAATAATGTACTCCTGACCTTGGCAGGCAATGACATTGAGAAATCTATTAGATGTGTCACATATCACTAGATGATAACTTAAAAATAATAGCAGGATTTCCTGATATGATTCAAGTTTCTTTTTAAAGCATAAAGTCTTTTTCTGTTATGATGTTGGGTGGCTTGATAGGTACTATTTCCCTGATTTTAGGAATTCACTATGCTATTGCATTATCCTACCATCGTGACTGAATGCTACAGAAATTGAAAGGTTGTTTCACCATTGGTCAAGGCGCCAGAGTACATACAGGTTACAGTATACTGTTTAATAAAATACAAAGAGGGAACCTAGACCCCCCACACCTGGCCAGTAAATTAGATATATTCTTGAGCCAGAAACTGTAGTGGCTACTTCTCAACTGGCAAATAACACACCTGGTTATGCGTAAGTACTTGGCCCTCCATCTGTGCCAGCTGCTGCTCAACAGGATCCAGCCCCTCCACAACCTGTAACCATTAAAATTACATAATAACTAAGTGCTTGCGTTATAATTACCTAAAAAATATGATGTTTAACAATCCAAAAAGTAAATACATCAAACAGTACAGTAAGGTACCAAACTAGAGTGGGAATCCCCAACTACTGTACTGTGTTGCAAAATAAAATCACAAAAATAAGTATGTAACACAATGGGAGCAATAATTAAGCAGGGAATAAGCCCCTATGAATCCTTCACATGGGTGCACTTTGGGAAAACAGGTTAAAGCTTGCCATCAAGGGAAATAAAAATTGGATGAGGAATAAATCTGAATCAATGGGAAAATGTTACCTCTTAAATTACATCTAAAACCAAACTAATCGCCCAGCCCCCACTAGGCAGCCAGGTTGTACTGTACTAAACAAGTTGTCATGCCATTTGAATGATTTCAATTTACCCCAAGACTGGGCATGAAGAACAGAATTACTACTACATGGGGCATGTTACATGCAGATCTGACTTAGCTAAAAGCTGGATTAATATTCCATAATGACCATTCAGGAAACTTTATATCGATTCTTATAAAGGGGGAAAAATAATACCATACCGTTCTTTAGTCTATAGAGTTTCTGGTGTCAATTTATAGTTTTCACGTTATTTTCACCTTTTTATTTCACTTAAAGAATAGTAGAATGTCAATTTAAAGAGATTCAATTTAAGATAATTGATTTAAAGCGGCATCCACAATTAAGGACAATGTTTTAATTTAAAGCGAATCTTTCCTATTTTGCACGAGTCAATCTGGCGCATCATATTTAAAATTTTGCGCCCATATTTCTCTGGGCACGTTACACTGTCCTAAGGGCAAAGCTGTACTGTACATGTACTCAAAATAATGTACTAAATAATTACTAAAATTTTTGTCTAGTGCAAACTATAGCATGTTTACATTCAAATTAATCACTATCTTATAAGAATTCCAGCAATGTAAATTATATTCTCCCCAGTCACTTCTGTGACATTTTATAAGCAAAAATATAAAATCAATCTAAAGGACACAAATAAACAAATAAATACTTCACTAGACCTTTGGCACCAACTGTCAAACATGTCCCCTCCCTTCCCCCAATCTTCCCAGCCAGTGTTTGGTGTTTTAGGCTTAAAGTTTTTATCTTATATAATGTCACAGACTAAAGATAGGAGAATATAATTTGTATTGCTGGAATCCTTGCAAGACAGCAAATAATTTGAATATAAACGTCATATATTTTGCACAAGAGAAATTTTTTTTTGCTCGGTAGTAAAATTCTTAAATTAGAACTAAAATTTGTATGTCTAATGCGAGCTATAGCATGTATATATTCAAAATAATCACTATCTTATAAGAATTCCAGAAATGATAATTATATTTACCCATGTCACTTCAGTGACATTTTATAAGAGAAAAACTTAGTCACTCTTAAGGACAGATAAATAAATAAACACTAGACCTTGGCATCAACTGTCAAACATATCACCTCACCTCCCTCTCCCCCCCCCCCCATCTTCCCAGCCAGTAAGCAGACCAATGTTTTGTTTATTCTAGATGGGCTGAGGTGCATCTGAGTAGACTCTCATTCTTTTTAGTATTTTGTGTTTCTCTCAAGCATCAAACTAAATTATTCCACTGTATACAAGTTTGTGGGTATATTTTTTTGTTTACTCCTAACTCAGCCAATCACCTGAAGGGTCAATGTCATGTGATACTCGTGTGCATAAGCATAGTTCTTACTAAGGCACTCATTACAAGTCTCATTGTCATGGAAATTTGAATTAGTGGGAAGATAGTTTTTGTCTGTCAAGGTTGCTCCTTGGAAAACTGGTGTGTAATTTAATGAGTATTTAAGAAAGAAGCCGCAGCTGTAGACATCTTTAGGTCTCATGGTGTTTTTCTTGGTTCAGTAAAGTGTCCAAGGTGTAATTCAGACTGTCCATATCATCAAGATCCTTCTCCATATGTTAATTAAGGCAAGTTTTGATAAGGTAAAGTTAGGTTAGGTTTACACACTGGGGGTCTAGATGGATAGAAGATTAGATCAGGTTCTTCTGGTTAGGTTATATTAAACATGTATAGTGATATTTGAGTCATTTTGTACGTTTTTATCACACAATTTTGGTAATTGGGGGTGGGGGGGCTCATATCTCCAAAAGAACAGTACCCTTTACCATGATAAATAAGTCACATTAGTGTAAAAGAGTGAAAAAAACTATCAAAAAATATTTTTGAAAGTAATTTCTGTAAATGGTCACAATGGAATACTTACCCAAAACAGGATTAAATGTTTAAAATATGAAATGGAATTCTTTGACATCCCATTTTTAAATGCCCTGAAGAGAACCAGAATATGTCAGCAACCCTAAGTCACACCCCCAACCCAGAAAAATAAAAGCCGAGTTAAACATTGTGGAATTTTGACAATGCTGGGTCGTGCAACACTTTGACCATTTGTTTCCCAGTTAACAATGAACTCGGTTCCTAGGCAACTGTTACCTCTCCTATAATATAGAAAATATATATCCAGGTATAAAAAAATATGTGACTTCGCAATAACTAGGGTGTTCCTCGGATAGTAGCACTTAGCTCCTGAAAACAGAGCTTTATGAGAGACACCAGAGGAGCAATTGGGGAACCGAGATGATGAGCCTGTCCTGGGTTATACCTTACTCTGCTTGGGTCACATGTTGTGGCAGCATAGACTCACAACTCTCACCTTCAGGTAACAGGTTCTCCAGCGATAACCTTCATTTACAAGGGCTGCAGTTGAGCCAGGAGAGATCCTATCAATAATTTGTCTAGTTTTACTAGTTTCCTGGAGTGGAGAGCAGCCACACTAATGAAGTTCCCGGGAACCCTGGGGTTAAACCCACCAACTTATTGATGCCAGTGCATGAGTAATCTGACCCATTGTGCCATTTATAAATAAAGAAGATTAGGCCGATAAATATATTTCACACCAATGACCCAGATAGAATGGCAATTGGGTATAGATTGAGACAGGAATGTAAACATGATGCCAGCCTCTGTTCATTTAACCCTTTTGCAATATTGTCAGCTGAGCAAATCTCACCCCCTTGCTGGCCAAAGATGCCCCAAACCTTGTTATATCATCCAAACCTCACTCAGCTGCTGGCTGATGACAGAGAATTCTCTCATCTAAAATTGGGTTTTGACTTTTTCTTTCCTAAAGCTGCAGGGTAAACAAAGAGTTCATCAAGAACTTTTGTTGACTGTGCGTAATGTGAGGGTTTGTAGCTGAGCATGATGTTAGTCAGGGGGGACTGGGAACAGTCAGGACTCAGGAGCATCATCGATCTGTGCAAGGGTTAATCATGTGGCTTGTGCAATGCCTTTCTGTGGATTTGAGTAAAAAATTCACAAGCCCATTGTAATTAATAGTCAAAAGATTTGTGAAATATAAGTGAGAATCTATGATTTCTGTGGAATATGTAAAAGCATGCAAATGATAAAAAGAAACAAAATTATATTTTTCTTTTAATTACAAATTCCACAACTAACCTGGCCTCCATTTACTGCAGCACCTAAGTCACCTTGTACCATTTCAGCTGGCACAAAACTAATATTGTCTCCCTCTTGCACCACGACGTACGTCTGACCTGATCCAGTAACCACACCTGTAACAACAACAAAATGAACACTCATAAACTCAGTCAATCACTATATTATAAAACAAATTACAAATGCAGTAACAAAATGTGAACAAGTGACTTTTCTAAAGACAGAAAAAAAGAAAAAAAAAATTCACCAAGAGGTACAGTATGTACAGTTAACCAAGAAAAAATTCTGCACCTTTATGGTGTTATACAATATGACACACCAGACCAAGAACTATGAAAACACTCATTTATGTGGGTGACTCCTGTTAATTTCTCTGTATTAACTATAAGTGATATAAAAAATACATCATACTGGTTATACAATGCATCACACTACCAGAAATACCAACCTTACCAAATTAACATGGCCTCAGTCAGTGATCATTGCAGAGGCCATTAGACCAAGGGGGGCAGAATATTTTTTTTGCTGATTGTACAAGCCACCAGGGATTTGTTCACCATTTATTTGGATTGGGAAAGGGGGGGGGGCACGTCAGAGGTCGAGTGGTCTACTTATACCCCAAGGTTATATTAGACATGTATAGTGATATTTGAGTCATTTTGCACATTGGTAGTAGGTAGAGGATTTTCAAATTCTTGACCAACTACAGTTCTCAAAATTATGCAGTCTACATCAAGCTTGTCTATGGATTGATAACAGTCACTGATGAAAACCAATACATTGAATAAAAATCGTTGCCTGCTAGCCTCCCTGGAGCTGATGATGTGGCAACATTCTCAAAGAATTATATTAAAAATTCAAAGTGATTTATAAGTAAACAATATGTTAAAACACATCAGAGAAGATTTTGAACTTACACTGTCCCTCAACCATTTGAAGAGTTTGTTCTGAACCATTGTCTGTTGTTTGAAGGATTGCTTGACCAGATGAAAGTGCCTGTTGTAACTCCTCAAGTGTAGTTGGAGCTGCTTCTTGTTGTTGCTGCTGCTGCTGGGTGTGAGGCCCTCCACCTACACTTTCCTCTGACTGATGCTGTAGTTGTTGTGTTTGTTCCTCGTGTACTTGTTGAGGTTGTTCCTGTACAACCTAGTCAAATAAGGACAATTAAGTACAGTATGTGGTATTTATTCCAAAATAACATTTCAAGATCACACATATGGTTTAAACCTTTGTTACATGCAGCTGTGTTCGTACATACATCTGAAACATAACTCCCCATTACATACCACAACAGAATCATCTCATTTCACAACTTCTCACCATTTTCAAATACTGTCCAGCTATCAGGTACCAAGACTCACCTGTTGGACTGTTTGTTGTGGTTGTGTCTGCTGCACAGTTTGTTGATGAACAGTTTGTTGTTGATGTGGTTGTTGTTGTGCTACCTGAGCAGCACCAATGCTTGTTACTTTATTAATATTACCTTGCTGATCCACTGTACCTGAGAAAACAAAAATATTACCTTTAATAATTCTTTATTCAACCCTCTCTCCCTATGCAATGAAACCAAACTTAATACACAAGCCAACCTAGGGTAGCTGGATTAAAATATCTGATCACGGAGTGCACAGCTACGTCTAAAAGTTGGAGTAAAACTATCCTTATTGGTACAAGTCATGACTACAATGCATAAGAGATAATGGATTTTTCATAATTTCTATAACACCAAATCAACAAGTTACTTATTGCCAAAAACATAGAATCAATGAAAATACATTTGTCAGACTACAGGCTGACCATTTCAGGACCATATACAGAACCTACAGTAATATCAAAACAAGGACACACTTCTGATTACATATTTCCTGTTACCTGTGGAGCATACAGTTGAATGAGAAACGATGGTTTGATCCTGAATTTATCCCATTTTATGTTGAGTGGTGAGTATATGTTCTCAAAATGGCCGTGAATCGCCAAATCCACGAATAACATTTGCTGACCGGGGGAAGGGGGGGGGGGGATGTTTTACATTTTTACTTGTGTCCAAAGAAATGTATATTCCCTTTACGTGTTTGCCCTCAGGACAATTATTTCATTTACCTGTATTGTGTATATGGGTGTGTGTGTGTGTGTGTGTGTGTGTGTGTGTGTGTGTGTGTAGACATACACTCACAAAACACATACAAATAAATAATAATGGGAAAATCCTCTCACAAATGTTCAGAAAAATTTTATTAAAAATGTTGAGTCTACCCTCAAGTCTACTTCGTGCTTTACTAATAACAAAGTACGGAATGGAGTTGAGGGTAGACTCAACATTTTAAATAATTTATTTTTTCTGATTATTTGTGAGAGGATTTTCCCATTATTATTAATTTGTATGTGTTTTGTGAGTGTGTGTCTACACACACACATGTATACAATACAGGTAAAGAAAATTACTGTCTCTAGAATGAATGGCTTCCTGTCCTGGCCACGAAAATGCCAGCAACTCTAAAACTACCCTTAGACATTCTTGGGTACATCCAGGGTGTCATCCAAGAATAATAGAGGACCGCTAAATAAAAATCTGCGAATTATCCGGGCGTACTGTACTAGTAATGACCTTGACACTGCCACATTATGATGCCCCCACATGATTTAATACTTGTACTAATTAGTGTGCACTAAGTGGATGAAGACCTGCCAAACAATTCCAGCTGATGTCTGTTTAAAATAGTAGTTAGTTTAATCATTTCCCTTCTTCTTCTTCCCATTTAAATGAATTTTTTTACTCATTTGAATAACTGATTTTTAGGTTTACAAGGTTTTACAGTGACAAATCGATGACAGCAAACAGTACACCACACAAGTAAAATGTGGTCATGTCCTGCCTCTAATCCAACAGTGAAGTAATTTTAACAGGCTCACTAAGGAGAACAGCATGAGCTGGCCAAATATCAAGAGATACAGTATAACTATCATGTGGTTGCTACACAACTGGAGGCCACCTCCATGGTAATAAACATTAGTGTGAGGTCATTGAGGAGATGGACAGTTTGACCTGATCAAATTTTACTTTACAAATAACTTGCAAATGACCAATAACAAGATTAAGAAATGTCAGAAGAAAAAATCATGGGGCATCAGAATGACCTTCTTTGAATATCTGTAACATTTAAGAGAGTTAGGACTTTTAAGTCTTGAGGAAATAACAGTCAAATACTGTAAATATAATGATCTTACTAGGATACTTAAGAGACTGAATAGATACTAAAACAAATTTTATATTAAATGTTTTACCTACCAATAATATTGGGCATCACTTTGCGGAACTGTGGTCCAGGTTTTTTGGCCGTATTGGAGGAACTTTTATCTAGAAGGAAGGCATATTTTTTTGTTTCTGCTTTTGTTTCTGTAGCAGCAGAGGCCTGTTGTACCATCTTTCCTGCTGGCTGTGGAGCAGTCTTAGGTGGTTGCTGAACTGTAGTACTGTACTGTGCATTAGCTGTAAGGAAGAAAAAAGTCATAAATCAGTAAGTTTGACACCTCTTCTCTGAGGTGTTAGCCATTAGATGAAGAAATAAAGGTTTAAGATTTTAAGTAGATACATAGTGAATGGCTTGACTGACAGAGGTTTCATGAGTTCAGATTAATAACTTACATTATAACAGTAAAGGGAATCATTATTTATGTGGTCACCATAAGTGTACAAATGTGAATTCATTAAGTGATGGTATACCAGTGAGACCATCCATCACTGGACATTTTACCTCCTACATAATTATACACTAGTAATATCAGTATACCCCTTCCATAGCATCAATTTATTTAGAATTAAATGTAAAAAATATACTAGTCCATCCATTAATCATCTATCAATAACTTTTTGTGACAAGAACTGGTCAAGATGTACAGTATAGTGCCCCATAACCCCACACCTTTCTTGCTTCATACAATGTTCTGTAGTGTATAAATGCAGACATAAAAGACCAAGTACTGTAAAGCAAATTTGCCAATAATAAATCCACAAAATCTTACAACTGCTATACTGTAGTATAAAAAATCATTGTTTGGCGTTCACTTATCACTCAAAGGACTGGTCAGCAATTTACCCCATACCAAATGTGTTCTGCAATTAAAGGCCTCCCAGTCTCCCATCTAATCCATTAACGATTTTATTGAAAAGCAGTGTACATTATTTAACCAAGAGAAATATTGACAACCCTCACCAGTGGTCTGCTTTGCATGTTTTTATGGTGGAAGCTTCTTGTGAAAAAAATAGTCTTTTAATCTTTTGTTGTAAAAATGTATATGCACTCCTGCAACCACCTGAAAAGTTAGAGCGAATCTTTTTGCATGAATGTGACACCATCCTGAACTACCACCTTTCCACATACTGTACATCAGCTTGGTACTGCCCACATACTTGATAACAGAATGAATACAAAGATAAATATTTAAGGTACTCCACAGAAAATCTCTTTTCATTCTGAATGTCTTCCGGTTATGTTTACTCTTTGGTGTCTGTCTTCGAGCAAGTGTTTATTCTACCAAATGGTTGGTCTTTCAATCCTTGTGCCTGGATCTTAAGAGGCTATCCCTTGCATATGAAACTCTAAAACATCATAGGAATAATCCATAGCTGTATGACAAACTCACTACTAAACCATTGTCCACATAATCTGTTAACATTTCAAGAAATGTGAACAGTTTTGTCAAACACTATGTTTTCTCTATGTAACCATGTTGTGGTGCAGCATTATGGTGCACTACATGTGAAGGAGATGGATATCCTGGAAGACGTGTATATGAATGAGTGGAAACTACAATACTGTACTGTAAAGCTTTGAATTATTTTGGGGGAAGTGTGCTGCTGCTGATGGTTGATGATATGAATATTTGGGACCTTCATGTAGATTGGAAATACCACAGTAGTACCCATCTATCACTGTAGTAAAAATACTGCAGGACAAAACCTCTCTATTGATGCCAAAAGAATGACTAATTGATAACAAATAATAGGGATATGTTTGTGTAAATTGTATGATTCCAGCCATCTTACCTTATGGTTGGCAAAATTGTGAGAATCAAAATTCGCATACCATAATAAATATACACACACTTATATTACAATATACTAACATTTTGTTTCTTCAGCAGTGGTAAGACCAGCCTCCTCACACTGGGCAGCGATATCAAGTATTCCTCGCACCTGTTAAATAAAGGATGTAAAACTTCAGTAAATGAGAATAAAACAATTTACCTGCATTCATGCACCAACTATCAAAGCTATAAAATATTACTTTATAAAAATATTGGACTTATCATGAAATCCTAACATAAAACATCAGGAAATAAAAGGAGATGTGCCAAAAATCTCTGTCCAATCAATATAGGAATTGTGGTGTAGGACTCTGCCTGTCATATAACCTTGCATTCCATTTAAAATAAGTGTACAAAACAAGAAATTCATTGTTTTTTCCAACAATATCTTTCATGTGGTTGCCAGGGACTAAATATTTTAGCAATGTTAACTAATTTGTTTTCAACATACTGTACTGTAGTATGTTTCTGACAATGTGATCAACTTGCATTTGTTTGTATCATTTATAAACTTGCCCAATTTAATTTTCATCATGGTTTTAAATGAAATGTTTAAGGTTATGTTTAAAAAAAAATGTAGTTTACACTATCTAATTTCTTGAAAGCTGTAAATAAACAGCTAAATGCAGTACTGTATATATATTTTACTTGAGTCACTGTCAATAACTCATATGTACCTGATTGTGCCAAGCATGAAACCCAGCCATATTCTGTTCTAAGGATTGATTAATCATCACATTATATACATTCATATGTATGGAAACCGAGTTGCATAAATTATAGTGTTTTGTTAAAAAAAAGAGGAGGGACAGTTAAAATTACTGAACTGTATATCAGAACTGGAGAAATTGATAAATGCCAGGAATATTAAAATTGGGAATGAGTGGTGTCCAGTATCAATTGTGCAGCTCACACCACAATAAAATTACAGTCCCACATTCCTGATAATTAATATGGTTAAGCTCAATATTGTTTCTTAAATTCTAGTGATGTATGATGTAGTATGTTAGTGAGATAACAAGAGGGGGAGAAGAAGAGTGAGACAGCTGGCAATCACTTTACCTCCATACATGCCAAGACATTTTGATCACTGTTGAAGCTTATTAAGGCAAGGTTAGACCAACGTCATGTTATACCTCTAGAGCCAAAAAGATTCTACATAATTCTTTGTGGCTTTAGTGAATTGGTAAACATGCCTTTCATGAAACCCAATAGGGATACCAATCTCAAGGAGTACATACTCAATGCTGACCATTATGAGACTCGATTTATATACAATTACCAAAACTACTGTATCTGTTGTGCTGGCTAATGATGAAGATGAGTTAGGAGACCAACTTGTTTTTTCTGAATGTAAAAGTTTAGCCAGTGGGAAAACAAAACAATCAAGAGAGCTTGTGTATATTCAAAACTCTACACCTTGTAATACAATACTGTACTACTGTATACAAAATCATGTGGTAATTACCAGCTTCAAAACTTTCAATTGTACAGTACTGTACTGTATATGTTTAAATGACTAACCTGGAGAGCACGGCCTAGCTTGAGGAAGGCTGCAAGATATTCCTGCTCCACCATCACTTTACCTGTTGGAAATAACAATATTTCTGTAAAATATAAAATGCAAAATAGAATTTTACATTAGTAAAATGAAAGGAACATTGAAGTTATTGGCACCTAAGATGAAAAGAGACAAGGATCTCAACTTGCGGAAGAAAGAAAGATTTTTTTTTGTATCCTTGCATTTATAGTTGCATTGCCTTCCTCACACTTACCATTTAAGAGCATTTTCATTCGCTGAAGCTCACTCTGTACTCATGATTTCAAAGGGTGCCACTGGTAAATCATAAAAGAACAGCAAAGTTTGACAAGTGTATACTGTACAACATAAATGTGAGGTGAATAGTAGTTGGTGGCAGAACTGAGTAATGTACTGTACAATACTGTATTAGGAATGTGAGGACAGTTTGACCAAGACATGTCAGATTCCAGAACACTCATCTAGTATTTGTTTTAAACCAGAAATGTACTGTTATTGTGTTTTGTGAGAGGTGTTCCCTAATTGGTGAAAACAATAGAATTAAGATGGAATCACGTTGTATGGACGTGTGTTAAGTGCGGAAAACCTTTACATTTCTATTAAACCCTAGTGTTTGCCAAAGTATATCTTTCTAAAGCCTTTGCCAATAACCATAAAAAAAATTAAATTGCCATGAAACGTATGGTGAGTTCAATCAAATATTAAGAAGATACTTTACTTTGAATTCAAAAGAAAAAAGAAGAAAAGGAGCCAAAACTAGGACTTACCATTGTACATGAAGTCTATGACTGCTCTTAAGCTGTTGTATGAGTAGCCATTGAATTTTATGAGATGACTTCTTGCAGGATTGCCCTTCAACAGCCCCTGTATCAATACACCGATTATTATTAGACAAAAATCCAGGCCACATGAAAAAGATGCTTCAAAATCAGGTTGGGTTAAAAGAACTAAGAGCATGAGTGAGAGATGTACTGTCTAGTACACCACTAATTGAAAAAGACACACATGCACTACAAAGCTAAATAACATACATAAATAGATTAATGAGAGAATACAACAAGGTAAACACCAAACTTTTATGTGTAGAAAGCTGGGGTATGCAAATAAAGTATTATTACTGTGACTAAACTAAGACTTATGAAACCCCATAAACTGAACAATATTTACAAATGAAGGTACATCAGATGAGTTAATACTGTACAGTACTGTAAAAGATAAAACTGAAGGTAGGAGGGTCAAAGGAAGGCAGACACTACAATGGATGAGTAAAATTTAAAGCTGGCTCCCTAGACACAAAATCTGGAAGAATTGGTACAAACAGCCTGAAAATGTTACCTTCTTCTACCTTCATCATTCCCTTATATTCAACTTTCACTCCATCTTTACCTACATATCTAACAGCCATAATTAAAATATTTGAATTCAATTTTGCCTAAACTTCCTAAAAGTATACCACCTTTTTTTATCACAGATTGTGTTATACACATCATCCTTCTCACCTCTAGATAAGGACTGCATGCAGATATAACAGCCTTGTGAGCTTTGACCTGGCGACCCTCACATTCCAGGCCAACATCAACAAAACGGCCTTCTTCATACAGCTGGCGCAAGTACTCTAAAAGTACCGAAGAATGGTCGCACCACTGGATTTCAACGGGCGGCATTCTGTCAAATTATCTGCAAGTGACAGAAAAAACCAGTACATGAGTACACTTACCTATACTGTAGAGATGCTGCACTATAAATGAGAAAACAACAGAATACAGTACAGAATTTTTTAACAATTTCTAAAAATAATATTACATGCATCACCATATATATAAGTGTTTCATTAAGGGGAGCATCACAAACAGTATCGACTTCATCACGCGTCCTAGATTACTGAATTCGATCACTTGTAAACATGGCAGCCATGGATGCAGGTTTTTATGCAAAGGAGATGCTTTTAAAATACTTTAAAAAAGTCAAGTATACCATGGAAAAGTTTGAATGATTTCAGTTTATAAATTATTATAAGAAAGATGCCAGAACAATGGTTGAAGCCAGAGAGAGACCAAACCTGAACCAAAACCAAGATCCAGTAGTAACAAGTTACCCAATAAGTACAGTACAATATACAGTACTTGTGACAAGGAAAACAGTATCATAATGCCAGATTAATAAGAACTGGCTCAAAATTCCTAGAATCAAGATGGCTGCCAATAATTTTTATTTGTATTAAGAGTTGAATATTCAGCAGACTTTGTTTTTGTTAGATCACTATAGACCAACAGTTAGCTACATGTACCAATATTATATAGTACAGTATATCCTTTCATTCTAGGATAGGTAGGTTTGGTTGGTTCCTTGGTAATACAGTACACGACAACTGTAACATGCCCTTGGCACTAACTTGAGGAAATTTCTCCATGGAAAAGAAAAGTCTCCTTACCACAGGAAAAAGACAAAAAGTGCATAAGGAATAAAATGTGTTTAATACAATTTTTAATATTATTTACGTCCAGTACATGAAGCTGACAAGTTGCCCGTGTCAACCAAGTTTATTTCTGATCCAAGTTATTTTCATGGAAATATTTTCTTTTAGAAGAACCAAACTAATCTATAAAACTTTACCTTACCTAACATAAGCAAAGCTAAAATAATAGTAATCTTATACAATATTTTATTTATCGAAAATAAAATTAAAATTAAATTGAAAATAATTTATTAGTCGGAAACAAACATTGCGGCAGACACGGAACTTATCAGCATCACCTACCAGATGTAAATTACTGCATAAGTTTTACTCCTCAAATCGTCTTCCTATGCATTTCTGTACTTATCTCGAGGCACCGTAATAAAACTTTTATCCAATAAGGAGAAATTTCCTCAAATTGGTGGAAGGGCCCACCAAGGTCATCAAGTATTATCAGTTCACCTTATCTATGACAAAATGTTATGAAAATATTCAATATGGAGTTGCCAGTAGGTAGCACATCAATGTAGTCAAGTGTTTAGGAAAAAAAAAAAGTAAGTGGATATTGTTATGGCAGTCGTACTGACAGACTGTGTTGTTAATGGTTAGGTTGGCCAGAAAGAATGCCATCTTAGCCTACCAACCACACATAAGCATTAGGCTGCTGTACCAATAGACAACGACATTTCGCATAAGGCTGCCATACCTCTATACTGTGCCCCAAAAAGCTAACTTTTTAAAATTAATTACTCCACCTATCTTGGAATAATCTTGACCCAAGTAACTTTTTCAGTATAAAATATACTAAACTCATTGGCAATCTCAGACCCTCTTCCGGAGTACAGTATAACCTTACAGGTCTCTACAAGCTGGTGTGGTTTTGTGCCAGTCTCCTGTAAGACTGGGCTTTTCTTCAAGAGTTAAACTCTCACTTTCTCCTCGATCTAAACAGATTTGTTCTCAGAATAATGAACCTAGACAAAAAAAAATCCAAGATACAGTACAGCAATACCTTGTAGTCCTCTAATTTTCCTTTGCGTTCACTGTAAGAGTTTGAAAGTTAACATTACAACAGATCTCAACAGAAAAAGATAATCTAAGAAAAAATTAATAAATGGCAAACTTCATAGCCTGGCAGGCCAGTAAATGTGGGGTCCTGGGGTAAACTATCAAACTTTAAAATATACATATAAATATATATATTCCGAGGGTTATAAGTCTAATATTATCCAATCATTTTCAAAGAACCTGAAACATCAATGACCATAAGGTATAAATGTAGAGTGGCCTACGTTATCGCAAAGATGAGGCGAGAGAGAGCGTGAGGATGATGGCGCGCCTCTACCCAGGGCTCGGGACCGACGCCACCACTGCCATACTATACTTCACCCCCATTAATATCAACGTTACCTTAACTCAACACCAGCAGAAATTTTTCCAACATACATGAAACACTGTCATATAAATCAGTGAAATAATAGCCTATAATATTACTCACTTTGAGCACTTATAGATGCCAGTGTTTGTTCAATAACAAAACAATCGTCCTTCTCCAAATATCAGTAAGACATCGGACATTGGAAATAAAAGTAGGAAATGTTAAATAGATTTCTCGTGCTTTTTGCAATATTTTTGCTAGTAATAGAAACGTATAAAAAGATAAAAATTAATATACAAAAATCTTATTCTTTTCAAATTGTATATAAATTTTATATTCATTGATAAGTTCTGGTAAGAATATTACAGAGAAAGCTTGACGACACATGACATCCACCAATCACGGCTAACGCACTCTCATTGGTGTATTCAATTTTAAGCGGGAATATGCAAATAATTGAGTTAATGCATATTTTATACGTGAATATGAACATATATAATGATAATAATAAGTAAATAAGTGATGCAATTATTTTTTTTAATTTGTATCTAATTTTAAAGAATAGCTCATCGGTAGAATATGTAATTACACTATATAAAACATCAATTCAATGCAGGAAATTAAACGATCACTATACTAAACATTTTTTTTAATTCAATCAGTCAGTCCATTAGTGATAAACTGATATATTTTTTTACAAAATTAAACAATCCTAAACAATCTCAAACTCCATACCGAAATTCCTAGTCAAAAAAAGAAAAGAAATTAAAGCCACAATTAAGCAACACGCGTTCCACGTGCCATAGGAAATGTTCGATTTTAATATTTAAGTACTGTGATCAGCTTCCTGGGAATGAGCAGGATTTTTTCTTTAAGGACAACAAAATATTAGGACGGAATAGGCTATTTTATATTGGAATTGCAAAAATAGACAAATAAAAGACTTTAGGGACATTTTTCCTGACCATCCGAGCTCGACAGTCATCAACTACTTGTCTCATCATTACTATCTCTCACCACGAGGGGAACCAAAAATCTGAACCGAGTAAACCACGTACTGATTGATTACTTTTTTTTATCCGACTTGTTTGTGCCATAATTTGCTTGTTTCGCACGTTGTGTGCACCAGACCTACATTTTGATGAATATTTTGATTAAGTTTCATGTTATCAAAGCAGTTTTTGAATAGATGCGAATTCCTTTTGTTGGAGATCTGAAGTAGGCTCCAGAATACTTCAAACGATTTTGAAATCATGAAGTAAATGGTATAGGCGAAGTTCACAGTAACAAATGGTAGCTATAGATAGGCTTTATGGTAAAATTTCACTTGTTGCCACTGTACGAAATCGAAGATGAAACTATGTTTTTCCAATGGCTTTTGATGTGATATGAACGAATTTTACTTCCATTTCTGGCGCAAATCAACAGTTTCTGCTCCAGTGCTCATAGGACTGAGAGAAGACCAGATAGCTAAGCTAGAAGTTATCCAAAATAATTCTCTCAGGACCATGCTCGGAGCACCCATGTGGACCAGAACTTGCAATTTGCAAATGGAAACTGAACTACCACCCCTGGCAGTACGAGTCAAACAGGTGACAGCCGGACTCCTCGCAAAAATCTGTAGATCAGATAAGCCCACAGCTGCCAAAACGCGAATCAGTGCCTCCCTCCACCTCGACCACAGAGCGCAAGGGGCCACCTGGCCGCACGAGGCAAGCGAGATCAACAGGCACCTGCAAGCAGAAACACTCGCTAAGAACAACCAAGACATACGAGACAGGGATTATGTAGTTCCACCACCATGGAGCCCTCCACCAGCCACATTCAAAATCACCGAACTAGGTGATAGCAAAGCCAACCTCCAGACGGAGGACCCCAAAAAAATAACTCAGGAAGCCATAGCCACTGAGACCCCTGCTGACGCAGCATTATACTTCACAGACGGCTCGGTGGACCCAAAACATCAAAGATCCGGAGCGGCCTTCTATACCCAAGGTCAAACCCTCCTATGGAGACTTTCCAATGACTGCTCCACCCGACAAACAGAATTGGTAGCAATCTCAAAGGCCCTACAACACGCTGCAACACAACGCAACAAGTCCATCATAATTCACACGGACTCGAAAACGGCCATGCAGGCGCTGCAACACAGTTAACCAAGAGACAACGTCCACATCATAACCTCGATCCTTACACAGCTACAGGACTTTCAAAGACAAAATCGCCCAGTCGTCTTACACTGGATTCCCAGTCATGTAGGAATCGGGGGAAATGACATGGCAGACGAAGCAGCAACGGCAGCCACACGTTCTAGAAGCGTACACATTCAAGTTCCAGCAAGCGTGCAACAGATCAAGAACCACCTCAGAAAGACTACCAAGCTCCACATCCAAAAGAGCTTCCTTGACGCATTCAACGCTGGTTCCTAATCAGCCAAATGGTACCTGGCGGCTACAAAAGGGGAACCACCATTCGCGGACAATAAAACACCAAGACAAGCCCAAGTTAGCCTTCACCGACTACGACTAAGGTACAAGTGCACCTGGCAGACGATCGGAAATGTCGTCAGGGAATGCACCTACTGTCAGGAGCCAGCGGCCAACCCACTGGAACACTATCTCCTCGACTGCGAAGTCACACAAAGTCTCCGAAACAGAATTCGAAACTTCCAAGAAGAACGCACAACACCAACGGCCACTCTAACCCGAAAGGCCCAAACAAATCACATTCACCACCTTCTCCGGGTCATCACACGAAACCCACCACCCAGATAGCTAGGGAAGTATCCTTCCCCAGCAAATGTGGACCCCAGTTCGGGGGGCGCGCCGCTCAGAAACTGACCACGTCCAAGAGTGGGGGTTGGTGGTAAACTCTCGCTGACCGAGGGTCCGCTCACACTTGCAAACCTGCAGTATCCTTTCATATCTACAGGTAGGACCGATAACCCAAGCGGCTAACGAGCCGATCAGTGGTGAAGAGGATAAAAGTAAGAAAAAGCTGAGGTGCCGAAGTGCAGGCACCAGTCTGGTGGCCCTCCTTTGAACATTTTCAACCAACTGACAGTCCCTAGCATATCTCGGGGACCAGACGGGGTGACAGTACTCCAGATGGGGACGCACTTCACTCTTGAAGATAGTTACGAGGGACGGACCGTCTAGATATCTAAACGACCTTCTTATAAGACCCAATAATTTATTTGCCTTTTTTACCTTCTCGCAATGGCCCGAGAACTTCAGCTCATTGTCAACATACACACCTAGGTCCTTCTCACATTCAGTCTCAAATAGTGCAGTTACCCTGGATATTTACACTGGGCAAACTTTTTCGGAGTGAGGGTTGTAAACTCTTGGAACAATCTACCAGAGAGGGTTGTGACGGCACCGAGTGTGAGCTCTTTCAAGACAAGACTTGACCAACACTGGAGCAGGTTCAGGTACATTCAAGAGCCGGTGCATGCCCAGTATTTGCCAACAGTGCGTGACAGAGACGTGACCGATCACCCGGGCGGCTAACGAGCGGTACACCGCATACTATAGTAGCACACACACACATCATGTATATATATATATATATATATATATATATATATATATATATATATATATATATATATATATATATATATATATATATATATATATAAAATTCTTTTTACATGAATATTTGGCAAATATCTACCTTGTACTTTGTGGCTATCACAGAAACCTGAAATTGTGAGACATTTTTCCATCAGATTGTATTTTGGAGTAAAGGCACATGCTGAATAAGGAGAATTAAGAGATATTAGCATATAATTGTACATTAATATATGATATTCTTTTGTTGAACATGAAACTTTCAAATTCTTCTTGTTTGTTGGATTCAACACCTTATGGTACGTCAAAACAGTAGATGTGATAGAGCGCCAGTAAGCCAGCGAATAGCAGTAAACGCTAAGGTAGTAAACAGTTTACAGCGAGCGGACCCGAGTTCGATTCCCGGGCAGGGTGAAACTAGGGCAAGTTTCTTTAAGCCGTTAGCTTCTGTCTACCCATGCTGGATATTAATCGATTAACGGATCGTGTTCCGGGGTATTGATTACCCCAGAGCCATCTTAACGCATGGGCACGCTGGGCAGTTGCCCAGTGCCCCACGATTTTAGGGGCCCGTGAATAGAGCACACTATTAAATTAATGACGAAGTCGATGATACACCTAATGAAGTACATGAGGTTGCTGGGCCTGTCGAAGTTCGCCACCGAATCTCAGAGGATAATCTAGATTTAAAACGCAGAAAAATTGAAGAACCTTGTATCCATTGGAAGAAAAATAGGAAATTTACTAAACCATTACAGAACAAATCACAATGTCGCAAACGTTTGTGTTGAATAATTCTTGCTCTACCAATTAATTATATGTTTAAACGTTTGTTATTCAGCGTACCAATTAATTTTATGTTTAATTATACTGAAAGTTTTAGTTTTCATTTGAGGGCGTGGGTGGGTAGAGGCCCCAGGATATTGCTTTGCCCAGGGCCTACAATGCTGTTAAGACGGCCCTGGGTTAGCCAGTGCAGTTGGCGATTTGTTCGGTCTTCTCAGACTATTCCTTGACACTGGGTCATGCAACTCGTGAACTCAGGGTGTGGTTGTTGTGTTGGCGACAACTTCTACACCTTAAATAAATTTACGCCCAGGTGGCCCTTGGGCCGGCCATCCTCGTTACGCGAGGGGCAGCTACTATTAATATACTTCTTTTGATATATATATATATATATATATATATATATATATATATATATATATATATATATATATATATATATATATATATAAGAAGCTACTACAAATTGTTTGTTCAGGTTCTATTGTTTACATTGTTCGCCCGCAATACTAGGAAAGTCTCTGCCTCTCTTCCGTTGCAACCCATCTCAAGCTAATTCGTCGATTAATTTACCTTCTCATCACACTTGTCCGAAAACTTCAGTATGTTGTCAACTTACACACCCAGGTGCATCCGCTTGCATTTTGCATTTTGTGGTGTTGATTTTTAACATCGATTCCTTTGATCACTCCTGAAGCTGACAAATATCTTATACATACCTCGGCTGTCTGTCTCTAATGAGAATTTTGACAAGTGTAATCCTACAGCGCTTAGAGTACTTGTACTGCTATTCTTAGTGTGTGATATACACCAAACTCGTGCACATTCCAACACTAAGAGAGTTTAGAATGTTTACAATTGCCTAGTTGAAATTATACAGACGGACAAGGGGCGATTTACCTATATCTAACCGTATGGAATCCTCTTCAGTCTTCACCACTAATCGGCCTCTTACCCAATGGCCGCTTGGATGGACGGTCATATCTTTATTACGCATCGTTTGCAAATACTGGGTATGCAAGGGTTCTAAAATGTACTACAATATACTGTACATCGGTGATGGTCAAGTCTCTCCTTAAATATGCTCACACTCGGTGCCATCTCCCATGACAACATTCTTACTCAAAAGAAGTTTGGTCTGACAATTTACTGAATTTGAGACTATATCTTTAGTGGGAAATGCTTCCGCTAGCCCTACTGAACAGTGTCGTCGGAGATGCTTTTAAACTAATATCAAATCACCACTTGTCCGTCTATAGTATAAGCTAGGTTAGACAGTTGACGGAGTTCTAACCTCTTTCTGTACGAGAGGCCCTCAATTGCAGGTTCCAATCTGTCAGTGTTATCCAAGGATAAGTCCTTGGTATTATCTAGGGAACCAAGCAGAATGACAGTATCCCAAGTGTAGGAGCGCAACATTATTGAAGAGCGTAATTTGCGATCTAGGTATTAGTATGATTCACCTTCTCACCATGATCCGAGAGCTTCAGTTCGTTGTCACCTTTAAACACCCAGGTCGTTTTCACATTTGGTTTTAGTTAATGGTGCTTCCTAATCTCGTTGGAACATGTGATATATTTTTACTGGTGCTACTATAGCGTGCGATCTACCAAGATATCGTTAATCTAATGTAACCTAACCTAATCTTACGTAACCTAACCTTACCTAATCTGACCTGACCTAACCTAACCTAAATATTTTGTAGCCCGCACGCTATAGTAGAACCTTTTTACTATTGATACGACCTAGGTGCTTCTTTTCATATCGTAACGTTTAATCTCAATAACTTTTCATTCGACCACTCCTGAGCATGATATAGGGTTAATAGAAGTTATGAATATCCCAATGCCATAAAGGGCATATTTGGGGCTAGTGGGTGGACTCCTCACTAGTGGTCACAGCTTCAAGGTAAAGAACCTATCAGCAAAGAAAATGTCAGATGTAACCTACCAAAGAATATTGTGACAGCACCGAAAGGGAGGTCCTTTAATATCAAACTTAACATGTTCGTGTACATTGTAAAGCACGTCTATAACCAGTACTTGCTACGTAACAAAAATAACCGCACTGTTACTAACTTATACAGGAGGCTGTGACCTCTTGTGGGGCGGCCATCCACTAATTCAAGAGACGAACATTTATCGAAGTACTATGAGGAAGCACTCATTAGACACCATCTTTTTTTTATAATTTCTCTTATAAAAGTTTAAAAAATGTATTTACGTCACTCAATATTATGTACATTATCTGTCATCTTAGGTGCTGTAAAGTAATATCTCAAAGTACTGTAATCTCATTAAAGGGCAGCAGTGTTTAGGTCAATTATTCAGAACGATAATTTCCTTAATTGTTAGAGGATTTGTTTGTCTTCAGTTAGATTATTACTGCGAGTATTTTGTAAGGAAATTTATTTTTTATAATATAATTGAAAACAATATGCTACAATAAATTATGAGCTTTGGTATTTTTATTGGGGATGAATAAGAGCGTTGATGTTGTTGGTTGGTGAAGGTTGTGGTCGCTCAGTGGTGTACGTCACCTTATAGTTCTCTGGATGTGTGACTGCTACATGTCATTACTACACATAATGTGAAAATATCCAGCTGTAATGATGAAGTGAGGGAAAAAGTTCATTAGAAATGTATTATCCGGTGGGGCTTCCTAAGCGACTTAGGATTCCTGAGGCCGGTGATGGCCAGTTAAAGGCTGGAGATGGCCAGCTGAAGGCCATCGTATGTAACCGTGACAGGATCCTCTTCGCAATTCTCACAGAAACATCCATTTGGATTTGGTTTAGCAGAGTAAGTAATGTTTTGTTGACAAGTTACCTTGTGTATTGCAAGGAATACTCAAATTGGCATTGCCTTCTACTGAACTTTAGTTTTATAAATTTGTACTGTGATGATTATAGGTTCCTTTCTCACTGAAATTTTAAAGTTTTGATAATGTTAAGGATGCTTACCTGGGCCCAGCTGATATTTATGTTTGTAAAAGCCAGATATGCGCAACCTGTGTACAATGGAAATGACCATGGGCATCTGCAGGATTTTTTCCAGGGGTAGGGGGTACGAAAATGCAAGACAAGACCTGACATATCAGTTTATTCAAAACAGGTACCTGTACATCCATATAAAAGCATGATTAAGTGTAATCCAAATTACTTTTGTGTACTGCATGATCAGCATTATCACATATCAGTATTATCACCAAACTATTAATTACTAAAATTATCATACGGTCGACCTTAAGCATTAAAAACTAACAAAAATAATTCATTTGATATTATGAATCCAGAAAATTTAGGGATGGTAGATGCGAGCTGTCTGTCATGATGGGAACTCTCGGAACATAAAATGGTTAAATAAATGCTGCAGCGACACATATCAGCTCCAAAACCCTCAATTACGTCTTCAGTGAAGGCTTTCTATTTAACACCTTCTGGCGATGTGTGCTGAACATGAACAACCCAGATAAACCTTCAGTTAACGTTGTTGATCAAAGCCACGTCTTGACATGTCTCAGTGTGTTAAATAACCTCTCTACTTCACAAGTGGAGGCTGGAAGTGTTAAGGAGAACAGTTGGGCTTCTTGAATAGCAGGAAACAAATCACACTGCTTCAGAAGATCTGTCAAGGACAAGGTTGCACCTTAATCAAATGCTGTATTTTGGGGGAGAATGTTGATCCTGTGTCCATATTTCAAACTAGGACTGTGACCCTCAGCAAAATTATTGATGTTGTAGATCATTTAACAGTGCCATTTTTCCTAGATTCAGTAACCACTGGATAGTTTCTCTCATTTTCACCACAACTTGGTTTTACAAGTGACATGCTGGTATTCATGAACTCACTGTAGCAGGTTTTTGAAGCATGCTTATAACTCAATAATTTCCATGGCAGTTGATGCAAGTAAAAAAAAAAAAAAAAAAATTATATATATATATATATATATATATATATATATATATATATATATATATATATATATATATATATATATATATATATATATATATATATATATATATATATATATATATATATATATATATATATATATATATATATATATATATTTATTTTGCTCTTATTTTCATTTATTAATAATAATATTAATGAATATTATACCGCTTTAGTGTTTATAATTATGTCGTAATGTACTTGACAATTTGTGCAGTTACCCAAATAATATTCTACTTATCAAAAAAGAAAAAACAACCCACAATTATTTAAATTATATTCCAACATGCAAAGTATTTCTGAAAATAAATAATTTACTCACTGAAAATATTATAATGCATAATCATTTATGATGACAAGTGTTTAGGGCTTCATCATGACCTAACACCAGGTACAGTATACCATGTGCATGGTTCCTCTGTGATGTCAACATCATGCAGTCAGGCCCAGGCATCAGTTGTCGCTCTTGCCAGTGACATAATTTTCATACAGAAGAATTGTCAAAAGTACCGACTTACCACAAGTGTCTGTTGTGGGAATGATAAGGAACAAACAGTTCACTGAAAAACTTGTCATATCATATACTATATACAGTATTATGAATAAGGATTGAGGGAAAAAACATTTCTCATTTTCCAGGGGCATACAGGTGCACCCCTTGCACTCTCCTGTGGACGTCCATGGAAATAACCCTTGTGGGCATGAAACCAATACAGTATAGGTTTTTTTTTTTAATACATAGGAAGGTTCAGAGTCTTGTCATCACCAATAAGTTTGGGGTCCGACTAATTACCCAAATGTACCCAAATGTAGCCAAATATAGCCGGAATGAAGTCAAATAATAGTCCTAGATGAATAAATCGGACTGCCAATCACTTCTCGACTAGTATTTGGTGTCACAAAGTCACAAAAAATTGGTAAACTTAATTTAATCTGAGTTAATAGATCGAGTGCATGTACCTAACCTCGACTAGTATTTGGTGTCACGAAGTCACAAAAAGTCGGTAAACTTAATTTAATCTGAGTTAATAGATCAAGTGCATGTACCTAACCTAATCTAATCTAACCTAACGTAACCTAACCTAACCTAACCTAACCCAACACAACTCGTATTAAATTAAGTTTACCAATTTTTTTTTTACTTTATGACACCAAATAATAATCGAGAAGTGATTCACAGCCCGAATTACGCTTGTACGACCATCATTTGACTTCATTGCGGCTACATTTGGGTACATTTGGGTAATTCCTCGCTCCGTCGGTACATGCACGCGATCTATTAACTCAGATTAAAGTAAGTTTTCCAATTTTTTGTGACTTTCTGACACCAAATACTAGTCGAGAAGTGATTAGCAGTCCGATTTATTCATCTAGGACCATTATTTGACTTCATTCCAGCTATATTTGGCTACATTTGGGTACATTTGGGTAATTAGTCGGACCGATAAGTTTGTGATGGAGGCTACAGGGATAAGTTAGTAATGTTGTATGTCAGTACTATCCCTGTAATATCTTTGGTAAATGTTATGTAATTGCCATGCAAGGAAATTTGCATGAAAAATTGTTCTTTTCTGGTGTATTTCATTGTGCTTCTTTTGAATTTAACCTTCATTTTCATTGGAAATCAGTAGTTATGGAAATATCCCCCCCCCCCATTTATCAATAATATTGGTCGCACAAAGTGGGCAAGGCTTTGAAGTAGAGAGAAATTGTGGGGTAAAAACATGCAAAAAACTAACAAAACAAAACCCAACGAAACCTAACCTAACTATTACAGAAAACTTTAAAGATGGTAATATTCTTGAATAGGTGTCCCAGCTGGAGGAATTTGATTAATATCATGGGCAATTTGAGGCCATTTTGAAGCCATGTGCACTTGATATTAGGAGATATTCTGAAGTCAATAGGGAGAGAGATAGGGCATATCAAGTTATGAAACTATCTCCTTTTCCTATTACCCACTCCTCTTTCATTACTTCTAGGAATCGTTGTAATGCTATTCTTCGTAGGGCCAAATGGAATTTTATAAAAAGAATGAATGCTGTCCTGACTAACTCTTCTTCTAGTAAATCCTTCTGGTACTTAACCAAAAACATCTGTAATAACTTCTGCACTCACTCTTTTCCTCCTCTCTTCCGACCTGATAACTCTATAGCCAACTCTTCCCCTGATAAAGCCAATCTCCTTGGCACCTAATTCTCCTGTAATTCCACCTTAGACAATTCCAACTCTTTTCCTCCTACTCCTCAGTAACAAGAAAGGTTTTTCCATTTTAGTAAACTTTGGGTAGAGTGATCCAGGCCGAAATTGCACCCTTAAAGATGCAACTGTCAGCCCACAAAGATAGTCTGTGAAATTTAAGTGGTTGATAGGGCCAGCTCACTGTTCCCGTGTTTCTGTTTACGGGAGGGGTGCTCTCAGTGTGAGATAAGGCTGAGTAGGGGGTTGCGCCAGCACGGGAGCGCTTAGCGACACATTTTGCATCAAAAGCCCAAGAGGGGGGTTAATATAAATTTCTGTACTGTACTGTAAAACAAAATAAGTGTGTTTTGTGTATTGTTTCAGCCATGTGTACCTATTGTTGTTCACCGTCGATCAGATGAGTCAGTCAACACCATTGGGACCAATCAACTTTTGGAGTGGAGGCCTGACTCATCAATGATTGTTGTAGCTGTAAGTAATCGTACATTATTCTTTATATTTTGACAATGTGTGGGTGGGTGGGTCAACTCCAGCCACTAATGTCAGCACCTTGGTATTGTTATAAATAAATACTCCACACTACTGTATACCTCTCCTGAGTTCTTACTCAGTTAGCATCCACACATCTTTGGAATCTGTACACTTGCCCATTGTGCCTCCATATGGAATACCTGTAGTGCTGTGGAATGTAGAACCACAATTCTTTTCTATAATTATTAGACAAAATACAGTTTATGGTCTTTTACCTCTTCAGTTAGCTACCTGTCCTTCATTTCAAGTTAGACAATCTGTCTCTTCACTTTCTCCCATGGTTAGGGAGTTCATTTTATTTTTTCACGGTTGATTTTGTTTTTTTTAAACTGGAGTACAGTAGTGCATTTTATGATGGACATGGCAAACACAGATTGTATCATTGGTGAAACTTTATGTGAATACAGTATATCTGTATTTTATGAAGTACAGTATCTCTGTATTGATTGGCAAGCCACTGTAGAGTACAGTACTGTAAATCATTAGTAATCTTTTGGCTAGTAAATATTATTTTTGTTTGGTTAGAAAATTTACTGTAAAACAGCTTCTTTATGAAAGCAATAATGTATTACAGTACAGTACTGTATACTGTACCATAATATATAGTAGGGGGTAAAATTTGGATTAATGTGTGGGGTCTTTTTCCTGGAATCTAACCCATTTTTTTCCTCTTACATACAGTAATGGATTCATTATTGTGTGATTTGAGTTGACATGATCCATTTAGGGAAATAACCCAACATAGAAATATGGTTTTACTTTGTATTAACTTATGTATAATAAAGGGATGCATGGAAAGAAAGTATTTGTCATTCATCTGTTAACTGTGACGTCCATTACCTGAATATTGTCTTGAAATTATTGATGTTTCAGACCAACAAAAATCGTCTTATATTTTACTCAATCATTGTGGATGAGTCACGCCGGGAAGTGTATGAACAGCGGGACCCACCAAACCCAACTTTGAAGCGAGAATCAGCAGAGCTCTACACATGTGAATCAATACCTCCCCTTACGTTTTCTATGGTTAGTTGAAATATATTATTGGAGACTAGAATTTGAGCCTTTTTAAGAGTAAGCTATATACCGGTAATACAGTATACTATGGAATTATGTGCAAACTTTTTCTGGGTACTGTACTGGGTAAATTCTGTGTCTGTAATTTTTAATACCTCTAAAAGAAGGCACTTGATATAATGTAATAAAATGTTGAGAAAACATGTTTTTTTTTATATAAAGTTTTGTGATTTGCCTAAATTGAAATACAAATGCAAGTTAGTAGAGGATAGTAACAAATATGTATGTGGTAACTCAAATACAGACAAGTCTCCGGGTTGATAACCCTGGGTTTTCTGGATCCCTGATGTCTGGAATTAATAAAAAAATGGTTTGCCTTCCCATCACAACCCAGTTGATTCTATTCAAATAGCACTATGATGGTTTTCCAATTCTAGCTAAAATATGAATTAGGTACCCTGTAATGAAAATCAGGATTTTTTTCACTATTGATTGACAAAATGCGTATTCGTTGTGAATATTTCTCTGGTACACATAAGGTACAGTGGTGTAAATGGTAGACTGTAGGATGATGTTATTTTTAAGTGTGCTAAATGTGCAGTAATCATGTGACCTTAGTAAGGCTGGAAAAGCTTGACATACATTACTGTACTGTATAACCTAAATTATTTTCACTTAGTGTACTGAAATGCATCTAATAAACTGAATTTATTTTAGGTAACTAGAGTGTGTATTAGCATTTTACATTGTGGTACAGTACTGTAATTACCTGGTACATGGTCATATTAGCAATAATTAAGAGTTTGGTATTTGCTACATTGAAAGAGTAGAAACTACAGAATTTCAGCTCGCATTTTAGACATCTGTATGGTGCTGATATGAATGATAATGTGACTAACAATGCTCTAGGCTTTTGAAACTGAAGTATCTGGAGGGGTAACTGGCCTGGTGTGTCTGCGTGATGAGTTAATGGTGGCCACAGGAACTGGTCATATTCAAAGACTGCGATGGGATGGTTCACTCAACTATGACTACTGTGTGGACTTACGCAGGGTTCCTTTCTGTGATGACCAGCTTGTTATGAAAGGTAAGCTTTAATTTTGTATTTCTCTCTCTCAACCATATTTTTGCTTAAGTACAAGCTGGCTGCAAAACATATTCCTCATTCAGTCTAACTGCCTTTATAGATGAGATTGTCACCAGTGGTTGATTTTTTATTACTTTGGAAGGAAAGACTTAAAACAATACAGTATTTGATAATATAGACTTTTAGGAAATAGAATATGTAATATACTATTGGTAAAAGAATCTTTATAACATATGCCAAAACTTCTGTCCAGATATTAACTTTTCAACAAGTGTCAGTAATTGAGCACTTTAGTTGGTGCTAGCAATTTCCTCAGTTATGCAGCAATTAAATCCCCTGGGAGTCTGTATTTGTTTTTAACTTTTATCTTTAGCCTACAACTCTCCATGCTCTGGGAGTTATGAACATAATTTGTATGCTGTTATAATAAAAAAATGAATAGCTTCATTTCTACCCTACTGTAAATATATACACATAATCTTGCACAAATATATACAGTGACCCCTCCGTTAACGAACTCAATCCGTTCCAGAAGGTCGTTCGTTAACCGAAAAGTTCGTTAACCGAAACCATTGTTTCAATGGGTTTTTGGGTAATTGGTTCCAGCTCACCGAAAATTTCCTAAATTCAACAAAAATGGTAGAAAAGTTCACTTACTTTGAGGTGTGTATGTAGAAGGCTCCTGGATGATGATGATGATGATAATGATGATGATGGGATTTAGAATGGGGGTGGAGGAGAAGGAAGAAGAGAAGGCATTTCAACCAAAACATTTTACCTCTCTTGGTGTAATTCAAGATTATTTTCTTTAAATCAACACTGCACTGCATTATATATTGTCAATATGTAAAATATATTTCAAAATGACCAATAATTTGCTTGGAAACACGGAAAAAAGCGTTTAGTTGAAGAGAGTCTCAAGCAAGATGTTACCTCCAGTGAAAACAGAGAGAGACTAACTCTTGTTTGCTGTGTTAAGAGGCTGGATGCCGCTCATTAAACTAGTCACTTTACCTTCAATTATGTTCAATAATTGTTAAAATGACTAAAAAATTGAATATTAAACTTTTAAAATTATTGAATAGTATAAACTTCTTGATATTTACTAAAATAGTAAGGAATTTAAGCCCTAGAACCGATTAATGTATTGGCGGACTGATACTAAAGCTGGTTACCCGGTCAGTGCAAGCGAAAACATGTTGAGGTCGGTTCGTAAGAACTTCGTTAACCGAATTGAAGATCCTTATGGAAGGCAGTTCGTTAATCGAAATTACGTTAACCGAGGTGTTCGTTAAACGAGGGGTCACTGTATTTGTAAAATTGCATACACCAACATATACAAACATGCAAGCACTGTTATGAGTACACGCAGTAATTCTTATACAGTACCTTAAAGACATTTACCATTCACAAAAAATATTTTTTGTTGGCAGGATGAAGTAAATATTTTTACCAATTTGATCTAACTATATTATGTGCTCATCCTGAGAATACAGTACATTATAGTATAACTACTGTATAATAGGATCTGAGATTAAGGTAGGTTTTTAGTCTAATGATATAATGTTTTCAGACTACAGTAATTGTTAACAGATTCGAAGTCTAACTATCATATGTTCTTGGCAAATTACTGTAGTTCCAATTCAGATTTTTCACAGACTGGAATACCCTTAGCCTGAGTTTATCTGGATTAGAGGCAGTTTGCTGTTAAGGAAATAAAAAATTTGCTGTGAGTTGATTGGGCTTGACATTGTTGTATGATTTCAGCTGTTCCACTAGACACCCCAGGAGTTCATGTGGTAGATTTGGAGTATTCCCCTTTAGTGGGAGGCTTTGCAGTAGTTCTTAGTGATGGCCGAGCAGCATTTCTCACTGCCTCTACATTGAAATTTGATCCAAATGTAAGTACTGTAACTTTTTTAATATTTTTAAGTATGATGCATGAAATTAATATCTGTTAATTTGATATTGAAAAGAAATAGCTCTTGTCAAAGAATGTTATTTGCCTACAGGCTGTGCAAGGAATCTGGGCACGGGATCTGGATGATGCCACGTGTGCTGCCATCAACCACAAGTATAGATTACTGGCCTATGGTCGAGCTAAGTAAGGGGGATATAGTTTTAAGTTACTGCCTTTGTTGCAATATTTTTGGAATTATTTACTGTAAATTTTCAATGAAAAAACGGTCTCTTCGAGGAAGGTGCTGCCATGATCTGGGTGCAAGTTACTTGATAACCTTCAATATTGAAACCTATTTATGATACAGTACAACCTTGTGAATGCAGAACACAGAAATCTGACTCGTTTAGTTATCTGGAAAATTACTCAAGTTTCCTACTGTTTAACGTGTGTGGGAAATCCTCAGAAATTTAGAAGGGGTGAGAATGTATGAGTGGGAGAGAGTAGTGCATAGACTTGTCACTTAAGTTTTGTAGAGATTTGTCATTTTTGTTTCTGAAGCCTGAATGGTGATATTACTACTGTATGAGCTGTTAATATTTTATTTTTTATTTTTTTGTACCTACAGCTCTCAGGGTGTTGTTTACATGGTAGATGAAGCTACAGGTGGCTTAGAAGTATCCCATAGAATGATCCTCTCTGACAGAGATTATGGAGGTTCCCCTGGCCCAGTTGGTAAGTCTTCAAAGTGCATCATATCTTTTATATGTATTATTTATACATCTTTTATGAAATTTCTGTATCAATTGTTAGGTTATTTTTCCTTGACTACTACATGTGTGGATGGATCATAGAGAACAGAAACCAAATGAGTGTATAAAATGAATCTTTAATTTCAGCATTGATTACAGTATTTCATAGCAGTTCAGTGTGCATTCTAAATTGTTATCATGCTTTTTCACATAACACTATTATGAAAAGGTAATTCAACTGTATATTATACATTGGCATTCTTTTTGTAATATTTTGCATGAAAACTTTTTAATTGGTCTAATTTATCTGTATTGCCTGTCCATATCTTACTTGGTCTTTGATTCTTGTATACCACAGCTGTGCTCATAATTCTCCCCTACCAGTCTCTCACCTTCCATATGCTAAAGATGCTCTTATGACCTCAATGCACAAAGATCAATTTGGTTCTCCAGGGGGTTATTAATCCTGCTCATCCTTCTTGCATAATTATTCCATACCCTATGAAACTTGCAGATTGGTATTTTCATCTCGGATCCTTTCAGTATTTATCTGCAACTTCTCTGAAACACTTGAGTTTCAGATTCATACTTAACAGTTGGAACAAACTTAACTTTATGTATTTCCTTGTTCATTCTGCACTCCTAATCTTTTCATGCATAATACAGTACAGTATTGTCATTTTGTATGTGATATTATTCATTTGAACAAACCTGATGATGATTCAGTTTAGTGTGCACAGTAAACTATGTGAAAATGTTTGAATAAATGTGGAAGTTAAAGATTCAGTTATACAGGGTATACTTTTTATTTCAGTGTAGGAAATGTGTGCAAAATATACTTACATAATGTTTTAGCCATTTGCTGTCACTTTTTAAATTTTCTATGTACTGTACAGGTATCACTTTCCCTAAACAATTACTGTACAGCATGCCCTTCAGATTCGCGGGGGTTAGGTTTTCAAAATGGCCGCCAAATCCGCAAATAACATTTGCTGACTGGGGGTATATTTTACTTGTGTACAAAGAAATGTATATTCTCTTAGTGTGTGTGTGTGGTTTTTTTTTTTTTTTTTTTTTTACAGGGATTAGCCCACCTGGCAGGTTACTGACCCATATCGACCTAGGGCCACATTGGGGCCTGGGGGCGAAAAAAAATAATTATTCAAAGTAAATACAATTTATAATTTGCCCTTAGGACAATTATTTCTTTTACCTGTATTGTACATGTGTGTGTGTGTGTAGACACACACACACAAAACACATACAAATAAATAATAATGGGAAAATTCTCTCACAAATAATCAGAAACAAATGTATTAAAAATGTTGAGTCTACCCTCAAGTCCACTCCGTGCTTTGATTAATAAGCACGGAGTGGACTTGAATAGATTCAACATTTTTGTTTGTGTGTGTGTGTGTCCACACACACACACACACACACACACACACATATACAATACAGGTAAAGGAAATTACTTTCTCTAGAACAAATGGATCCCTGTCCTGGCCATGAAAATGCCAGCAACTTTAAAACTACCCTTAGACATTCTTGGGTACATTCAGGGTGTCATCCGTGAATAATCGAGGTCCTGGAATTAAAAATGTGCAAATTTGAAGGGCACGTTGTACCTCCTTTCTTGAAGTTTTTTTCCCTCTATCCATCCTATGTCAAAAGTGGGATGCTTAATGATACTAATTTAGTTGGAAGAAAATTTGCAAGTAAAATTTTCCTGGACTACCACAAAGGAAAACTGCTTTTGTATTATGATGAGTAAACATATGGATGGCTTTATATGTATGTATGTATTTAAGTACAGTATCTTTGAAGATCTAATCTTGAATATTTTTTTCACATTTAAGGGTATATGAAGTGGACTCCAGATGGTACAGTGTTAAGTTTAAGTTGGGAAGGTGGTGGCCTGTCCCTGTGGAGTGTATTTGGTTCATTGCTCACTGTATCCTTACGTTGGGACTACACTGATGATCCTCTGTCAAAAGCCATTACCATCACCAACATGGTATGTACCTTTGGATTAATTTATAATAGCAGTACTGTATGCTATATTTACTTGTATAGGATTTACAATTTTATGTTCTCTGTATAGCACTGCCCAACTCAGTATATAGAGAATAACTTACGGACTCCCGCCGATACGAACGGGTTTAAACTTGAAATTTACAGTAATTTATTTACCTGGTAATTTTTTTTTACTTTCATTTACTGTACTATTTTGTCATTCTATTTCTTCTTTTTTCTTAAATTAAGTGATTTTAGATGTATATAAGGATTTAGGCAATGATATAGTGGGATTTTAAAAATTGTTCTGTAAGTATGGTATGCAAATAGCATGTGTTCCGACTAACGTACAAATCGAACTTAAGAACGTCCTCAGGAACGGAACCCGTTCGTAACCCGGGGACCTCCTGTATATTGTTATACAGGTAAGTGGGTCATTGAACCTATAAAAACTAGTGTTATTATGAAACTGTATACAAAAGTGATTTTAGGGAAGAGCATGTTTGTCAAAATAGTTCTTTTAGCTTTCCGAACACACAAGATGATACTGAGTATCTGTATGTGAAATTTCAAAAAAGAAAATGGAAATATTATAGTTATACACAAATGTGTTTCCATGAGTTATGGTACCATGGACATCTGAATTCAGTTCCCTCCTATCCTAGGGTTACTGGTTTATGTTTAGGGCACCCCCTATTCACCCTCCTTTGAATGGGTACCTAATTTTACAATTGGAGGAAAGTTAGAGTGGTTGAGTGTAGTGCTGGCTGCACTACTTCCCTTTAAAAAAAAAGGAGTACCTGTAGTAATAAATAATAATAATAATAATAAACAGTTTATTAATAGATTTGCAGCCGGTGGCTGAAAATATACAAACTTACATTTGAATTAGACATAATGATATGCGTTGAATACATTTACAGGGCTGTACAGTACATAAATTCGGAGTTGTTTATTATTTTAACAATAGATGGGATGGTGCTATTCTTATATCTATCGGTGCGGGCTCTTATGGGCTGAATTTTGTTGTAGTGGCGGACTGCACGAGGTGGGTGGGGGACTGCCGGTGGCAGGAGGTGGCGATGACTAGGATGGTGCAGTAGTCCACTGCCAAACCTTGCTAGTGCTTGGTGGTGGAGGTCACTGAGGGATGGCATTTCCAGGGTGGAGAGAGCGTTGATGTAGCCGGAGTAGTCTGTGCTGAGCATGATTCAGCAGGCCCTTTTCTGTACCTTCTCTAGCTGACGTTGGGTGGAGTTGAGAGAAGACGACCAGGCTGATGACGCATATGTTAGTTTGGGGAGAATAAAGGCATTGTAGATAGTCCTCAGCTCTGGCGTGGGTGTCCCAAGTGACCTAAGCCGTCGTAGCATGTGGAGTCGGTACGAGGCTGCCTTGATTGTGTTGTTTACATGGGCCCTCCAGTCCAGTTTGTGGTCTATGGTAACACCCAGGAGTTTGGCAGACTGCACTAACTGGAGAGGATGGGCACCCACTGTGACTGCTGGAGTGGTGGCGGTATTGATGTGCATGACTACAGTTTTGGTGTGGTTGATGGTGACCTTGTTCTCCATAGTCCATGCCTGTAGCCTGTCCAGGGTGCCTTGTAGTGATGAATGTACAGTACAGTATACAAAACTGTAATACTGTAACTTTTTACTTCTTAACACTGCTTTTACACTGTATTCTTGGCTGATTGTGTCTTGGTACAGTAATGTACAGTACTGCAGAACATAAGTTTGTTCAAAAACAGCAGCGAGCGAGGAATCAACCTTGTAAACTGGCAGAGGATTATGAACTAAGTACGTCATGATGCTAGACTTAGAGGGGATAAGCTGGGAGAGAGATGTATCAGCCTATCAGGCATCCCATGCAGTCACATGACAGCATAAGCCAATCGCAGTGCATGAGCTTACAGTCAAAGTTACTCAAGCGGTTTTCCTACTCACACTCGTGGCAAGTGGTGACGCGGTGGAGCTTGATGCTATTTCGCGGAACTCCCGGAAAAGAGAGGTTTGAAAAGATTTTCTCATAATTTTTCCAGAAAATGCACCTGGTATTTGTCCCTTGAAACTTGTTTGTAGACCCAGAATTGAAAGCATTTTTCCTGAAAAATTCTGGGCTGATTTCCATTCCAGCTATTGGAGAGTTCTGGGGTCCAGGGATTCCTGCTAAAGGGGGGATTACTATAAGTACATTAGAAATAGTGAGCTTGCATATTTAAAACTGCAAGCAGAGGCAAAAAAATTACATGAGATTTTATAGAATGAAGATGAGGATATGAGGGAAAAACATAACCTTTTATTTTAAGGAGATTAAAAGAAAGTTAATGTGCTTTACATTTAAAGGAATGGGGTGCAGAGGGCTATGAGGTATGGTGTATACAACAACATGAGAAATTGGAAGAACAACAGGAAAAAACTCAAGAAGAATCCTATCAGTATCAGAGAAGGCCAGGAGAACACATGAGAAGAGAAGCAACAGAAACAGTAACTTCAGGTGAAGATGCTGGGGTGGAAGAATCTCGGTGTGAAGGTAAAACTCAAACATCTGTCCTGCAGTTTTCCTTCATCAAGAGTGCTCTTACAGTGAACCCGTGTATGGTAAGTTATGAAGTTTGTTTTTCATCTACTTTGAATAGTGGATTTTATGTTCATTATTTGTATTATAATTTTTGGTTTTCAGGTTATTAACGGTTATTACGAAGAAGTTTACCACACTGTAGGAGTTGATGCTTTTTCTGTGGTTGAATAAGAGGAATCCACATTATACAGAATGTATCCTCTTTTCTCCTAGATGCTTCAAACAATCTGAAAGTTAAAGAAGTCCCAAGGTATCTCTACATTAGTGGCTCCTGTTTGGTCAACCACGATTTTGTTCCCCCTACCACCTTGTCTGACATTGAGCAAGATGGAGACATGGTCATTTGTCCTTGTTATAAGTTTTATTAGTTACAAGTGAGGATTATCTTGATATTCCGGCTATGTTTTGTTTAGTGGTTAGTTATTGGTGGAAGGTCTGAGTATGGGGTGTCCTTGTTTCCATGGCTGATATGGTTTGTATCAACTGAAGTTTTATCGACTTTTCTGGGACTCATTCCTCAAGTCTACCTTACTGGGGATCTTCTTGGGTCCCTACTTCATGAGGAATCTTCCTGAGTACAGCACAGTACAGTACAGTATAGTACAGTACAGGGAATTTATTTCCTTAACTTGGGACAACACCAGAATTCTGCTTTTACATCAGAGTTTGCAAAATTAGCTGAGTGCCTATTTCCCTTTTAATGTTGGAAGTGAGCTCCCATTAGGGATATCTGACACACTAGTTGAAACTTCTATCGTCCTTTAATAGCTGTTTTTTTGTTTCTCAAAAGTGCCATTTCTTCTAAGGAATTCACTAGTGTTTGAAACACTACAAAGTCAAAGACGTGAGAATAAAAAGAAATACAGTATACTAAAATAAAAGATCACAAAAAGTGACAGTTCAACTTCTATCATTTATAATAGCTGGCTTTTGATTCATGGATTGCTTCAACCTGAAATCTCGTTATAGATGAGTGTTGATCCTAAAAAAAAACATTTGATAATAACTTGTGAAGGGTGACCCAGATGTCACCCACCTTCCTCCCTGGGATTTGTTTGAGGTTTGCATGAGTGGGGGGATGGTTTCTGTGAAATTGGTTCATAACATAATATGAGGCGCAATCTGTACAGTAGAAAAATTAAGCTGCATGTTTTGGGGCAAACTGTGACATTTTATTTCTTATTTTTAGCAATGATTGTCTTAGAGAGTGGATGATAACTGAATTGCTACCGCTCACCATAACCTAGGGATTCACCAATCACTGAAAATTCTGCCCATGCATATTTCATAGGGTACTGTACATTAGTTTGCTTATAAATTGGGCTTTCATGCTCACACTTTAATTTCATTTTTTTTTTTTTAGCTCTTGTTAGTACTTACTCAAAATCTTATATTTATCTCAGTCTTGCTAATTGAATCATCCTCTCCATAAGTCATTACCATTTTAAACATCCATCATACGGAAAAAAATATTGTTTCAGCCAAAGTCTTTGGTTTCTTATTGGGACGTGAGCTGTAGATAATATTGACAGTTGTCTTCACCAAAGCTAGTCACCTGCATATTTCGTTGAGGCATTAAATGAAGCCTTGAAGTATGAATTCCCAATTTGTGATTTTAGGGAAAAAGTAAAAGAACCAGTTTCTCTCTCTCCTTCCTGTGGAATTTGTATTTGATAAGAACTGAGAGGACATATGAACTACTGTACATTATGGCCTTGATGGGCTAGAAGCATTTGTCTACTGAGAGTGCTTTGAACCTCTTACTTCGTATAAAGCCTCACTGGATCCTTAGTGAGTAGCTAATTTATCTGAAAGTAAATCTTTGACCTTGACCCTTGTAGAAGAGAGAGTTGTACTTGCAGCCAGCACATTGTCTGGTTTTGTCTAGCTGCCGTTAACCAATTGAAACCCATTGGCAGTAGTAGGTGGTCTCTGATGGGAGATATTTCATGTCCAAGATCTCATGGGTCACTTGCTTCTTTCCCATAGGCATAAAATGGAATTTCACACATCATTCACTTGTTTTTTATTACACTACTATCGTTTTTTTATTACAATGCTCCGAGTATTCAGAAGTGGAGACCATGCATTACAGAATTAGCTTAATCATGTCTTTACCCATCTTTCAGTGGAAACCTTTAAAAACTTGCATTGTTACATAAATACTGTATTATAGATATATATTTAGTATTATATTTTTACAAATTTATTTTATCTAACTTTAGAAGTCAACTTGTTATTGGATGAACATTTGTTACCAACAGAGTCGGTTAGTGCGGGTTCTACTACAAGGAAGTGATCGTCTCTACCTCAACACTTCAGAAGGTCTTGCAGGTGTTGCTGATGTACCTCATGATTCCCTTTCTTTATATTTTGATGATGACGAGGAAGGTGCTTTTGAAGATCCTATCCATCACAGAGATTCACAATTCAGTGTAGCAGCTAATAAACAGTGGATCGTTATTCCAATACCATATAATTATACTTCTTCAAACTGGCCCATTAGGGTAAGTAAGAGTTTGTCATATTAAATTTAAACAGTGGGCTGACTCCTTACAGTAGTAGCTTAGAATGAATGATATTTTGTCAAAGCTCAGTGTTTATATTTACAGTAGTATGGTGATAGACTTAAAAAAGCAGCCCAAATATCAAAGGTATTGATAGTATCATCAACTAATTTTAAACTCAGCAAATTAAACAGTGTAAGCAGCAGTGTCATTGGTGCATGGCCTTTATGAAGTAAAATCAATAATCCAAAGAGAAAAGCTTATACATAGAAGGTTTTTTGGGGGGTTCCAAGAGTTTAACAATACTGAGAAGATTAGAGATTTGATACTATTGGTTTACTCTAGTTTAGGACAGATACAAGAGTGTAGGCTAGTATAGTAAACCCTTGAAATTTTAGACTAATTAGGGATAAAGTCAGACCAAAGGAAATATTATATTGCTTCTTTGTCTTTATTCTTTTCCAATGGTTCATTTCAAATTAGCAGGTAGGCTCACCAGCTGGGTCAGTCCAAGATCACCACAACAAACTTTAATTTTCTTTTTAAAACCCTATTAGGTTACTATACAGCACACTATTGCATGGTGGATCAATACCAAAAGCAAATACAGTACAAACTCTCCCTTCACTTGCTATTGCTGTACTGTACTGTATACTTATTTACTCTCAGTGCCATAATAGATATATTTTGCTCTGGCTTTTGAGAGTTTTGATAAATAAAATATTAATACATAACTTAAAATTGTAAAGACCAAGAGATTTTGAACTTTCAAGATACAACTAGTACTGTACATTCAGGAGAGTCTCAACTAATAAGCTTTCAGTGTTGTTTCAGACTACACTGACCTATTGTCAATACATTTAAGTAGAGGGTATAGGGAGCTAGGTGATGGCCTGCAATCGTAATGCACATACAATGTGTATGACTATTTTTGGGATGAACTGGCTTGGTTCAAGTGAGTAAAGAAAGCAGGACTTCATCATCTACATTTTGTTTCTGCCAATTGTGTTTAGTACTCAATATTATCCCCAAAAAATTATGTATAAGTAAAAAGATAGCTGTTTGTCATGTTTCCAATGTACTGTATATGGGGAAAATAAAAATAGCAGTTTTGTGTTTTTCTGCATCTTGAATATTTGAAGTCTCCCCCCTCTGATTTTTTTTCTTCTTTTTAGGCTTCTCAGTGTATGCACCACAGTCTTAAATTATGTTTTGATATTATGTCTTTGTACTGTTCAAAATAAACTCTATTTCTGTTTCAGTACACATGTGTGGATGAAGGTGGTGTACTTGTGGGTGTGGCCGGACGCAATGGTGTGGCACATTACTCACTTCGACTCCGACGATGGCATCTCTTTGGCAATGAGAGTCAAGAGCGTGACTTTGTAGTAACTGGAGGCTTATTATGGTGGCAATCAAATTGGCTAGTGCTGGGGGCTTACAACATCCCTGCTAATACTGATGAGCTCAGACTTTATCCTCGTGATCACAAGTTGGATAATCTTTATGTTACTACTGTCCCACAGCCAGCTCAGGTATATATGTCATTCGTAATAAATTTTATGATGAAATGGGTATGTATGTGTATGGCCCATGTTATAGCATAGTGATATATTACACATACTGCCAAGGTGGTCAAGTTGGTTACCCTAGAAAAATCATAGCCAGTTTCTTTTTCTCCCGATCATGGAAAACAGGACTTTCAGAATTGTCCCAGATAGGTCCACAATCTTAGTTTCACTGCTCTACCACAGAGGTCAGTCAAGCTTGCCAAGTTGTGAATTTTCTGAACTATTATCATTCCTCCTGATACTGGTTACTGGAATAAGATAAGTTAAATCACCTTTCTTCATATTAAGGTTTATTGATAGGTGCATATTCGTGGTAGTCGCATAGTTGCATGTGCTTGCTTGAGGTAAGATTTCGTAATCAACTCAAATCTGCTAAGGGTATGATTTCAGTATTATTATGGTTCTCACTCCTTATCCTTCTTATGCACCAGATTATGAAGAGGTTCAATAATGAGAGGATAGGTAATTATTTATGTAATTTTCATATTTCTAGCATGTGCTCTTAAACTGAGTGGCACTTATAATTCAAGTTGCTTACTGGGAGGATTAAGGTCCCCATTTGTCCTCCATACTGTTATCCAGTTTTAATCTGTTAACCCATTTTGGGTATACTAGGGCCCTCCCTCACATCACACCATCAACTCCATGTGGGGGGAGACAGGTGCAATAGTTACTCTCATGAAACGGGAGGTCTTATAGAGCTATGTGTTTATAATCATTACACTTTGAACTAAGGCTTCTTTCTGCCTTCTTTGATTTCAAGATCAATCTGCCATTATAGAATTCACTTTCCACCTTGTAGCCATTAAGAGTGGATGCATCAGATTGACTAACCAGTGGCAATCTATTTACTGTAAAAGCCGAGTGACAGTCGCCTATGCGATGCATCAGGGATAGTTGGTAGGAATTGACTCTATGCTAAGAGTTGACATTCACTTACAGTCAATGTTAGGCCTTATGCTTGTTTTTTGCTTCATTGATGGTGGATGCTAATCTGAGGTAGCATATGGAAGCTGGATAGTCATGAGTGGGCAGCTGATATGGTGGGTTTGTTAGATTATTAAGCTACCTTCCATTTGATTTCATAGTTTGATCTTTTTATAAACCAATAAGGGGGTCTGGCTAGCTTGGGTATGTTGGGCTGGGTAGTGAATTGCTATTCAGTTGTCTGAGATACTTCAGTAAATCAAATTATATAAAACTGACACCACTAAATGTGTTAATTGGACCTCCTGTCTCAAAAAGGCAACTGTTGAGCCTGATTTCCTTAATTTGTGGGAGGGAAGGTTGAATGGTACAGTATACCTAAATTAAGTTACAGATCAACCCTGGCTTGCATTTTTGGGGAATGGGAGGGAGATCCTGATCCCTCAATAAGCAGTCTGTATTATGAGAGCCACCTGACTATGGGCTCTAATAGAACACAGGATTTCAGTATCAGTTTACCATTTCTATTGCCAATACATTAATAATATTATTATTATCACATTACAGGTTCTGTTGTTAAATATATATGGTGATCAGCTGATTGTTCTCACTGCTGATTGTCACATAACAGTGTATAATCTTCAACCAACAGAAACAAACTCTGGTAAGTTCATATCACTACTGTAACATTGACTTATAAATGGATATGCAGAGTGCTTTACACTTCAGAGATGCAAAAACGTATGTGTTTGTAGCAGACCCAAGACATTAAATTTCTTCCAGTTTTGCAATACACTACTTGTGGTTTCTCATCCATCATATGTCAAAATTTATAACTACATACATGACAAACAACTGAGAGTAAAATATACAACCTCCCTTGTAGTTTGATCTCTCACTTAGAATAGGTCAATGATAAATTAAATCAGGAAATTGCTTATTTTTAATGATCAGTTTCACTTTAATTCTTAATTGTCTTTTATTGTGTAAGGCAAGTCTGGGTTAAGTAAAAGGAAATCTGGAGGGATCAAGTTGAGGAGAAAGAAAGGCAAGCAGAATGAACCAAAGGAGAACCTTCTATTTCCCCGGGGTCAGTGTAGTGCACCTGTGTTTTGTGTCATGTTTGTGGCTCTAGTGTTTGCTATTGATTTATTTGGTGGTGATGGTGAGAGCACACTGATTTTCTTCTAAAACAAAAATTTTAATAATTTGATAATGTATTTTGTGTAGGTGCATTAAGAGTGAATTTTGTTTCACTGAATATTTTTGTGGTGGTGATGGGCTTCTTTATACGAGTAATCTTAGGCAATGAATATGGTGCAGTATATTTTGTGGTTATGATTTTGTGATGTTATGTTGTGGATTTGTATGTTGGGAGAATAAATTTTGTTGTCATTTTCTGATAAATTATTCTTAAATGGTAAGTTTGTTATATTTTCAAAAAGAATGGCACAGCAAGTTGCTGTGAATTATGATAAATGTTTTGAGTACAGTACTGTAGTTTTTTGGTATGGTATCTTAGATTATAAATATGCTTTGATAAGCTTCCCCTCATATTGTGTTAGACACTAGAAATTTAAATGAGACATTTCATGTCAGTCATTTGTGTGTTAGAAATATGTACAGTATCTGTACAGTACAGCAATTTTGATTTCAGGATTTACTCTATTGTTTGTTCATGACCAGAAGGGTGGGTCTGGCAGAAACACTCTTAAGTACTCATTCTAGTACAGTCAGCCAAAGATGCACCGACCACTCCCTGGCTCTTGTTCTCACAATTTTACCTGGCAACGCTTGGTGAAGTAAGGCTGTTTGTAATAGGGATTGTGATTCGTGGATCTATTTTCAGCTGTATCACTGTCAGGATAATTTATTAAGCAATCCAAAGGTTACATTTTTATAATAATATACTATTCATTGTTATTTATGATCATGACAAATTTCCAAATGTTCATATATTTGCTTAAATAATGAAGAAAATTTTATGTGGTTGTAGTTGAGTTGCCAATTCATTAATAGAATTTCTTCATTATTTAAACAAATATGAATTAATTCCATTCACCAAAGTTTAGGGTCTTTAGGAACTAGATATGTTGCCTTGCCTATTCACTACTCCAAGTTCAGCCATAAACAGGATTTCAGGACTAAATCTTCGTTTCATACGTCAGTCCTTTTCTCTTCAGTAAGCTGGCAGTTATTGGGCATAACACATCATTGATGAAATTTTGTAGAAACATTGAGTAAACAGAGGATGTGTGTACATTCCATTCTGTCTAGTGGGTTGTGTGACTAGATCTTTGTGGTACAGTACTTCCACTGTGTAAAATATTAATTTCAAAGTGCAGATATTTTTTGTCACTTTGCACCGGTGATTGAACAGTTCACATCCTGTGATGTTATCTGGCAACTTGTCTCCAAGACATAGGTTCTTGAACAGGACAGAGGGTAAGCATCTTGAATACTTCAACTTTTTCACACTTCAAAGTGCATTGTGTGCCAACACCACCTCAACTTACAGTTTGCTTTGTTAAGAGCATCATCACCTGCATGTGAAATTCCATCCTTTCCAACCACTGTAGATGAAGTTTTTGATCTTTACACTGAATAAGGAATATGATGTGCATGCTCTTGTGAGTGGTAACAAATCAAGCAGATTATAGTTTAGTGTGAACAATTGATTATTGGTGAAACCCTTTGGGTATCATGAAAGTGAATGACATTGTATCAAGGCCTATGATATATAAGTGTGTATCTGGGGGATTGATGATCAAATGTAGGGGAAAAGAAAGTTGTTCATTATAATTTGGCAGTGTTTTGTACTATTAGCCCAAGAGACCTGAAATTAATCCTGTTTCAGGTAAGGTTGGTGGGGGCTTTATTTTAGTGTGATGTATGCTGAGCTGAGCTGGGTCTGTCACATCCTTACCCAAGACTGAAGTTAACTTTTCTTGTCTGGGTGCTGTCACCTCACAAATTGTGAGAATTTTTTTAAAATTATTTTTATACAGTATTTGTGTGTGTGTGCTTAAGTATGCACAGCTCCTCCCCAACTTACGACCTACTCGACATAAGACCACCCGCACTTACGACCTATTTCAGTCATACCAAAATTTGGTCAAATTACGTATATTCGAGTCTCAAAGTCAGTACACAGACAAAATTTTTGTTTGTGTTTTACTTTAAAATGGCTGGCAAGCTTAAAAGTGAATGTTTTGTGGTGCTGAGAAGAAAAAGAGACACCCATTTTAGATTTTCTATGTATTATTTAAGCATTTCCGACTTGCGACCATTTCGACTTACGACCTGGATTTGGGTCCCTAACCCCGTCGTAAGTTGGGGAGGAGCTGTATTTACAATGAAACCTAATTTATTCAAATTAAATTTTGAGGATTTATTTTATTTATGCATCTGAATATCTTTAACAGGCAAATAAAGGCCTTTGTGGTGTTGTTATTGCCTAATGGCATGTAAATGTATGTATTCCTGGTACAGGATAAAAAGGTTTAAGAATGGTAATAGTACATGTAGAAAAAATAAAAGTTGAATATAAAAAGGCCAAGAGAGATAACACATTACTGTACTGTACTGTATGTAACAGTATTATGTATGTGTTGTGACTTGACACCAGCATTCAGGAAATTGAAAACCACAAGCCAGCTCTTAATATGGAGGCTGTTGTGATGCATGTTCATCCACTGAGAAGGTTAAAACATGAATTATGTAAACAACAACAGACCAACAGATAGCCAGAGGTGTGTGTTGTGTGCACTTTTTCTTAATATTTTTATTTTGTTAATTGAGAAAATGCTTATGGTAGTTATCATTTGTTGATGGGGAATTTTGAACTTATGTTTCAGGTGGTGGCAACGTATTAGTGTCTCGTGTGCAAGAGGTTGATATATCTGGATTAACGGTACACCCAGCGTGTGTGGTGTCTGTGCTGCTCACCAGTCTACGCACCGAGTCATGGCGGGTACATAACAATCAACAAACACCCTTACCTGCTCAGAGTGTCATCATCAATATATCAGGCAAGGTTCTCATGATTCAGAGAGATCATCGCTCTGATGGAGGAAACACCAATGGAAAACTGGTAGGTGAAATTACTGCATGATTGAAGTGATACATTTATATAGTTTTCTCTCTTTTCATATACAGTATTATGTTTTATGACTTCACTGTGGATGTTTCTTTAAACATTTATAGATAATTCTTTGTTAGATAGTTATGTTTTATCTGTAGAAACAGAGTGTTTGGTACTGGTTTTGCCTTGTTGCTCAGTTAAGTTAATAGTTTTGGAGTGAAGTCTGGTTGTGATGACTACACATTTATAATTTGGTATATTTTGTAATGTTGTAATGCATATGGACATTTACTAACCTTCCAATTTAAAAAAAAAAGAATCTTAATTCAGTTCCAGTGTGCCCAGATGACACCAATTGTTTTGGCATCAAGCTGTGAGGCTTTGTGGTGTAGTAGTTCTGCTGTTAGCCACAAGCCACATCTTAGTCATGCTCTATGGTTGCACTGTGGTGTTCATGGAACTCGTGCTTGGCTTCCACTTTTTCCAAACTCTGCTGACAAGTCCCACACATTCATGGCCAGAAGGATTATGTTGCCCTTCACTCCGTCCATTTACCCTCTAGGTGAGTCGTTTTCTATTTTTTTTTTAATATAAGTTTCTCTTTTTTTGTAGGTTATCACAGTAATATTTATCCAATATTTTGTGTATGAAGCAATGTGGAACTTATCTGTAATCATATATGAACAGTTTAGTTACTTGGTTACAATATTCATATGCCTATTAAAATATGACTGGTCTTACCACCACCACATCATCCCCTTTCAGTGCAAATATAGTAATTTTATATTATGCCTTTTATTGCCTCAAACCATGAGGAGCCATTGGGGTGGGTGCACATCAAGTATAGCTAGTTAAGTCCCTGAAGACTAGGGTCATAAAAAATAATTTTGAATTCTTTTGCCTTGTGCCATGTCATGACATATTCCCTTTTCCTGCCCCATATCAAGTAAAGTTCTTGTAGTTACACATTCATTCATGATGGTGGTATATATATATATATATATATATATATATATATATATATATATATATATATATATATATATATATATATATATATATATATATATATATATATATATATATATATATATATATATATATATATATATATATATATATATATATATATATATATATATATATATATATATATATATATATATATATATATATATATATATATATATATATATATATATATATATATATATTTTTTTTTTTATAATTACTGTATGATAAATCAGTACAGTATATACTGTTCACTCAAGTAAGTGATTTTACCATAACTCCTTGGCAGCTGTAATGTTTGAAGAGGGCATCATGTTAGGTGCAGAGACAGACACCTCTTTATTAGCGTGTGATGCCACATCTCTGTATCAACCACTCACTGTTGTGGAACGAACTGTAAGTATATTACCTTGAATATTTTATAATTTGCTTTAAGGAATGTTTCAGTGTATGCTGAATTGCTAATTTAATTTAAGTACTTTAGTTATATCAAAATCAACAGTTTGCTGTATTCTTGTTTAGGTTTATACCAAGGATACCTCTCATAACCACTGACCTGCCATTTGAGTTCAAGCGACTTCCATTCCTGGTTAAAGTGAGCTTTGTCATGACCATATACAAAAGCCAGGGACAGTCCCTAAAGATGGTTGGCCTAAACCTGGTGTTACCTTGCTTCTTTCATGGACAGTTCTCTGTTGGATGCTCCAGAGTGGGAACTGTCAAAAATCTGTACATACTTGCTGCTAATGGCAAAACCAAAAGTGTGGTCTACCCTAATGCACTACAGTGAGACAATGTGGAGCTTCCTAGAGAATGGCTTCCTACCGTGGCCTAGCGAAACTCCGGGCAGCGTTTCTGCTGGTATATATATATATATATATATATATATATATATATATATATATATATATATATATATATATATATATATATATATATATATATATATATATATATATATATATATATATATATATATATATATATATATATATATATATATATATATATATATATATATATATATATATATCTTGATAAAATCACACGGGAAAATGGAAACAACGGAGTACCTTAGCTTTCGTCTTTATTCAAGACATCTTCACATTTATCATTTATTCTTGTTATTACAGAGTCAGGTGTACCTCCATCATTTGTTACGTCAGCTGTTAAGAAGAAATCTTGGCTACCATGCATGGGAGGTGGCCAGCACCTGTAGAGACTTGCCGTACTTTCCTCATGCGCTTGAACTCTTGCTTCATCAGGTCAGTCTCAGCACGTAATGGCAACAAACATTCTATATCAAATATATTTCAACCTCGCAGTAGGAGTAGGAGTACTGAGCAATGAGGAAGTTGTGTTCACTTAATAATTCCTTCAGTTTTAGGGCCTACTGTCCTTAATGTATATTTTCATGCCATTAAGGAGTGATTGATTTAACTTGGTGATACATTTATTAATGGGCTCAGTTTGAAATGCATAATACACTTCTTACTTATCTTCTGTCATTGTCTTTAAAAAATAATAATTTTGGACTGTTGCATTGAGCTCATTGAGAAGTACAGTATTCCATCTTTGATAAGTTTATCAACTGTATGATAGACTAAGGGAGGTAAACATGGTATTATTACCTCTGAAAGGTACCGGTAATACAATTGGTAAGTAACCTGTTGTAAGTCGTCTTGACTAGTACATTATGGATAAGAATTAAGATGTATGATTAAACTGTGCACTGGGAAGCAAGGGAAGGGAATTCATTCTATGATAAGTATGTTGAATGAAGGATCTGAATGATAAAGTTTGACTAAATGGGACTTTCATGGAATGGGGTTGACATTATAAATAATGACATGTGTTTTGAATGGGATGATGAACTGGATTTCTTGGGTGCACAGATCATGAAATAAGTACAGTACTGTGGTTCAGAATCGATTACCTAACAAGAATATGAGGTACAGTACTGGATGAAGGCCTTTTTAAAATTATCAGTGGTATGATTTTTACAGGTTCTTGAGGAGGAAGCATCCAGCAAGGATCCACTTCCAGACTGCTTACTACCGAGGGTTGTTGAATTTATTCGAGAATTTCCAGTTTATCTGCAGACAGTAGTGCAATGTGCCCGCAAAACAGAACTAGCATTGTGGCGATATCTCTTTTCTGCTGCTGGAAGCCCAAAACATCTTTTTATCAAAGCCCTGGAAGAATCACAGCTGGATACTGCAGCATCCTACCTTATCATTTTGCAGGTAAAATGTTTAATAAACCTTAGATCCTACCAGAATCACAGAATATACAAGCAGTGATGATTGTGAAGTTCAGGTTTGTTTATGAGTCTTGTACTTTACTGAATTGAGAGTGGTTAACTAAGCTAAAAATAATATTTGTGTCGTGTTTTAGTTATCATGGCTCACAGGATTGCATTGCTGGCTCAAGATATGACAGTGGGAATGCTGATATGTTTAGTATCCCAGACCTTGATATAATGTCAATGGAAAGAAGAAAATTAAGTGTTTAAGCTTAATTTATCTTCTTCAATACAACCTCTTCAAAAATCAAATCCAGTGAAAGCAAAACATCACAAAATGTACTGTATACATTCAGTGCATATGTCTTGGCTTGACCTCACAGTCTTGCACTGCATCACAACCAGTGGTGCAGTTTCTCATTAAGTTGTGTGTCCTCCACTGCCAAAATCATCTTTGTCCTAAAGTATTAGGATTATTTTAGCATATACAGTAGAACGTTGATTTAAAGCTCTTCAATTTAAAATTATTGATTTAAAGCGACACCCACAATTAAGGACAGTGTATTAATTTAAAGCGAATCTTTCCTATTTTACGCGAGTCAATCTGGTGCATCATATGGAAATACACACTATTTTAAATTTTGCGCCTAATGTTTACCGCCAGACGCGTCTCTGGAAACGCTACACGGCTACCCACCACCCTCCCACACCCTCACGCATCCTCATTTCTCGCACTAACGCTCTAGTTAACTGACATATTTTGTGACACTATCTCCTTCTACCAAGTGCATCAACCATTGCCACTATGTCCAAGAGGCCAGCCACTACATCATTAACTACTTCAAAGACCATGAAATCAAGGCAAGCAATTACACTGGAGCAGAAAATTAAGTTGCTGGAAGCACTGCAGCGAGGAAATGGTACTTCAACTGTGGGGCGCCAAATTGGACAGTGATGTGGATAATGAGCTGGTCGAGTTGGGCACTGCATCTTCAGTGGATGAATTGCCAAAGTAAAGTTGAGGAAAATCTATTTTTGATAGCATAAAGTAATTAAAAACTAAGTTGAGAGGAAAGTGAAAGTGCTTGGTGAGTCAGATGAGAGGCGGGTGGTGCGTGGCACCAGTGCAACCACCCTCTCACCCTTAATTTTAGTTGCGTTGATTTATGAGTGTTTGTTTTAACATAATACTACAAAAAATGATGTTTTGTTTATTCTAGGAGATGGGCTGAGGTGCATCTGGGTAGACTCTCAGTCTTTTTAGTATTTTGTTTTTCTCTCAAGTATCAAACTAAATTATTCCATTGAAACAACCCTTTGATTTAGTGCGAATTCGGTTTAAAGCGACCTCTCTTGGAACGTATCTCATGTTATATCCACGTTCTACTGTATAACATGTAATTGAGCAGTGTCAGAGTCTTCTTAGAAAACACCAATGTTTAATTACAGAATTCTTTAAACCTGGAACTGTAGATAGTGAAAATGTTGTAGGTGATGGTGACAGTGACTTGCATGCATTTCTCTAATTGTGTTTATTATTGGCTTATAATTATTGTGTACATTCAAATTTCTCATTAAAACATGTTTATTTATTTTTTTAGCATTTTAAGTCGTTTAGGGGAATTCTTTTATATAGGGAGTCTTTGGGAAATTGTGATCCAAAAGGTTTTCAGGAACAGAACCATTTTGTAAGTCAGGGAATGCATGTACATTATGCAGCATGGTAACACTTTAAGGTGAATGAGTCACACAATTGAAGGTGTTTGGAGATAGGCAACAAAAATTGGTGTCCAAGCTGAAGAACTTGAATTATAAAAATGTTAGAAAGCTAAAGATTTGTTCAATGTTGTAATATACCACACAGTATGTAGAGATAATGATCAAAATATGTGAGGTGATGCAAAGAATACATCAGGAAAGACCATGCCCAACATTGAGGGCATATTGTATTGCAAAAATACCAGAGATCATAGTTTTAAGTTTTTACAGTATATTATCACAAACTAAGTTTAAATAGAACATCATGTGTATAACAGACATATAGAACTGCTTAGTTAAGCAACTAGTCAGGTTCCAAACATGTTGGTTTTTAGCACATGACTGAACAAGCACAGGACAGACCAAGATATCATGTATCAACACAGAACTCTGAATATAATGTGTAATCCCACAAGATTTGGTGTGGTACAGAACAATGTTATGAAAATACTGACCAGAAGCGTTCGTCAAGGATGAATCTAAGTAGGTAATAGCTGTGATGGTTTTCAAAATTATATGAGAGAAGGTGAAATATTTTTAACCTTGGAAAACTATGTTACAGAATTTGGAAAGTGCTACAGTTAGTCGAAGTCATGCTACTCGTCTCTTGGATGCAACCCTAGAGGCTGGCAAGTGGGATCTCAGTAAAGATCTTATTCGCTTTCTTCGTTCCATTGGTAAGGCTCTTTTATACAAAAAAAAAAATTAGACTAAATATTTTAATGATGCCTTTGACTGCATATATTAGAACTGCACTCTTTTTAATTGTTCCCATACTTCTTCACCCCCTCCCATTTTACCCAAATTTTCGTGTTATCTCTCCCTCTCAAACCATTTTTAACTCTCAACTACATTTTTTTTATTACCTAAGCACTGACTTCCTTGATGCCTAAAGTAGGTGACATGTTTTCCTGCTTATTATTAATATACAGGTAGGTTTATTTTTTCTAATTGACAGTCTACCCTTTGTCTTGCAGATCCAACAGACCTGGACTCACCCAAACCATCTTTGCCATCTTGTGGGAGCACTAAGGTGGGGTTCAGTCATGCTACACCTCCAGTGTCTCCTGCATGTGCCGATGAGGACCTTTCAATGATCCTTCCCAACACTCAGGTACTAACACACTACTTTTCATGACTTCTCATCAAATTCATTGATGCCTGTCTTTATCCTTTTTAAATTATGATTTACTAAAATTGTATTAACAGAGAAATCAGAAAATAGAAGGACTCTAGGAATATTGATATTTAATAAACTTGGAATAATTATTTGTGTAAGAAATATAATCATCGATTTAGAAGAATTACTAACAACGGATTTCTTCACATTCAACAAAGAGACTGGTGAAGGGTAAAGTCTCCATATCTTCCTTAATATTGCTCTAATCTCTGTGAAATTCATTATGAGCAAACAGACCTTTACTAAAGAAAGGGTCTTTGCATACGCCGCATCTAATGAGCGCAATCGGGATGCGATTCCATGGCTGGTTTAGATTTTGATTTTATGAATGAAATTTTGTTATGTAGGTGCATGTCATGTCAAAATTCGTAAAAATTTCCTTCCATGCTCGTGTGCTGTGAGTCTCGGAGTGTTGTGGTGGTGGAATGTCTGCGTCCGATCGCCCAGCCTTACCTCAGCCCTGGCCTCGGCGAACATCCAGCCAGGGGGGCGTGACGAAACTTTGGATTGTGACTGTACATACAGAATATGCCAAAAAATGTGTACATTAGTATAAGCTGGGGGGAATTATGTTATGGTTATCATTCGACTCATAATTTTGCAGATAAACTTAAATTTCTTCACTTTTTTTTTACACAATTACATGCACACACAATCCTACATACATAACGTGTAAAAAAAAGTAAAAGAAATGACTATTATAAGATCAAAATCATAAAGGGAACAAACATTTCTTTATGTGTTGAACCTCTACATGGGTGTCCCACGGTATGCCACACATGTCTCAGTCTGAGTCCTTTCATTATACATATCGTATCAGTGCACTGTACCTCGCTACCTACATTTATTAACAGTACAGGGGGCCCCCCAAATTCGCGGGGGTTAGGTTCTCAAACTGGCCGCGAATCGCCAAATCTGCGAATAACTTTTGCGGACGGGACGGACGGACAGAGGCATTTTCACTCGTGTACAAAGAAATGTATACAGTAATCCCATGTTTTTTGTGTGAATTACGTTCCTGAAAGCCACCAAACAGCTCGGGTAGGTCATGCACTTAACCACACCATGCTCTCCACTCACGGCCCAGTGGTCACACTGATCACTGATGCACTGTACCTGCATTTACTAGCATCAATATTTGAAACTAATCATATTGTAGTATAATAATGGAAAAATGTAAACACAGTTATATACAAAAAAAATTTATTTACAAGTAAATAAAAAAAAATTATATTTCGCTGAGGTCGGCAACACCCGCATTGCCAGCCTCTCCCTGCTGTCCCGGCGTCTGCCCGCCCTCACGCAGTCATGCCAGCCAGCCAGTCCTCTTCCACCCACATTCCTCCATTTGAAGACCTGTATTCTGACAAAAGACACAAATGAATTGTCAGTCTTCACCACATCTCAAGCCATAGCTCATACCACCTCTGAGCTTGTCCAATAAAACTGTTTTTTCCGTTAAGGTCATCACTATTCTTGATCTCTTGGTCACTTTAGAGTCTTTGCTAGTAATATTTGCCTTTGATGAAGCTGGCTTACGTCCCAGAGCCATGTGGAATGCACGTGGGAGGACGAACAGAAGAGGTAATCACAGTAGCGTTCACAGTACGGTAGGCACGTGTGGACTGAGGCTTCTCTGAGCAGCGGGTGTCTGAGGCGGGAAAGGGTGGCGTCTGTTTGCCGCACCGCACAGGGGAATATCGAAAATGGCGCGGAAAATCAATTTTTGTTTTTAAAGAATATTTTATGTACCTGTACAGTGTATAAAATTTTTGAGTAAAAAAAAACGCGAATGGTCAAAACCGCATTAAAAAAAAAAACGTGAAAAACACGGGATTACTGTACATGTATTCCCTTTATGGGTTTGCCCTAAGGACAATTATTTCTTTTACCTGTAGTATTGTATGTGAGTGAGTGTGTGTGTAGACACACACACTCACTCACACACACACACACACACACACACACACACACACACACACACACACACACACACACACACACACACATATTTACATTACTACTGTATAGGTAAAGGAAATTACTGTCTGGAATGAATGGCTCCCTGTCCCAGCTGCGAAAGTGCTGGCAACTTTAAAACTACCCACAGACATTCTTGGGTACATCCAGGGTGTCATACGCGAATAACCGAGAACCGCTAACTTGGGGGTCCCCTGTACTCTACTTTAGAGTACATACATATAACACTTTACAGTTGAAAACAATATCGGTGAAAACAGTTGTCGACAACCAGACTTAATTTTGATTTTCTTGAAACAGTCCAGATAAACAAGGTTACATCCAGACCCCTTCCTCCCCTTAGATTCACTTGTTTTTTAACTTTCACTTTTTCCAGACTAGGTTCTGCCCCAATTAGTCCCCTTTTTTAGGTACTACCGTATGTGTTTTAGGTTGGAAAGTTTGCACATATGAAACTGAATTTGATCCACTTTTTATGATTTCATAATTTCTTTATGGGTCTTTTTCTTATAATAGTAGTGAGAGCAAAGAGCCATATTGAATGCATTATAGCTTGATGAATTTTTCAAAAAGTTTCAGAGCTGAAGAATTTGTTTCTTTTATATATTTAGGGTCTTCTCCCTGCTCCTTTTTCCATTAAATTCACTGGGTTAACTTTTCTTGAAGGTATGAATATGGATTTTGGATAAAATTTTATCTCTTAATTATTTTTTATGTTATGGCATTGGTCTAAAAGAACTTAGAGCCACTGGCTTTTTTTATTTTATAAAATAATGAAGTAAGAAATCTGGTACAGTATTTCAGATGCCTGTTTGGATGTCCATTAATTGTTACTTGTCTAACTTTTCTTGAAGGCTATTAGGCATTGGGGTGAGGTTGCCATCTTTGGCTGTTATCTTATACACTGATTTTTCTACCTTTAATATTTAAGGGAAAGTAAAGCACAGTATTAGCATTCTCTGTCAAATACAATTTATATGTAAGCAATTCTCATATACTGTAACTGGTCTATGATTTCCTTTAAAAGTTAATGAATTTGTTTCCTATGGTGTAGTTCAGTTAGAATTGTAGATGCCTGCAAGTCTAAATTGATGATATTGCTCTAAATTTTCTTATGTAGTACTGTACTGTATATTGCTCATGATATTTTTAAGGAGATATTATTTTTACTACTGAGTAACTAATTTGATCCATACATTTGTGGTTCAGATCAAACAGATGTTGAGAAGACATTCTTCTGTTCTGATCACCGGTCCTCAGGTATTATTAACTTAGAAAAAGTTTGGGTTGTGTGTTGCTCTTAATGATTTTGCATGTATGTTGGGAACAATTTTCAGAATGTGAAAGCTTTCTTGTGGAAGGAGCGCAAAATACCAGCCATGTTTGTGGTCCTATAAAATTAATTGTTTTTCTCTCATAGATAACTAAAGTAGATACAATACTGTACGTACTTCAAAAGATCTCGCTGTGGTGAGCACCTTCATTCTCTTTGCTTTAATTCCTCTAATTTTTGCAAATTATCCTTTAGTTTATAGCTTCCAAATTCGGCTTATTCTTCAGCTCTGCTAGGAACATTTTAATACAGTACTAAATTCATCTTTTTTTGTATATACAGTAGTTCATATGATTTGGTTTGCTGATATAAGTTAAGAATAGATAAAATGTATATATGCTCTCTCAATCACTCTGTGGGTTGTATAATTTTGGGTGAAATATTTATAGATAAGAAACCAGCAACTGAATTTCCATGTTCTGTACAGAAGAACTCCAGAATATTGGAAATCATAAATCTGTCAATTTTGATAAATACTGTGATGACAATAAGTAAAGAATTGAAGACAAATCAAGACAGAACTACTGGATCACAACAGAAAATGTGACTGGAGAAGGAATTAAGAATAAGATCATGATCATCAGTAACTACACAATTACAAGTATATGTATGTATGTATGCCAGATAAATGGAAATTGGTTTTAAAGACATTCACATTTTTTACACATTTCTTTATATGAGTTTAATCATTCACTTAATGAATAACAGTCACACTTAGACACCCTTTTTTCTGTCATGCTGTCAAATTGGCATCCCAGGATACGTAGAGATGTTCATGATCTTCAATGTGTTTGTTTTTACTGTTATTTTTACAGAACATGTAGTGGTGAACTTTTGGTGAAACCCACCTTAGTTGACCAACATTTTCTCTCCCTGAAACATCATCCTCAATAATACTGCACGTGGGTTCTGCCATTTGATATACTGAACATATTTTCATAACGAATGACAACAGAAACAACCCTTTCGTATATTGGGGGTTACCTGTACCTGTACTGTAACTTAGAAAACATAGCCAAAAATAGTAGAAAGCAGTGAACATATCACATATTGCTGCCATATTATTTTTAAATAGAAACTAGCTAGTGTGAAACCCATTAAAGTGCCAATTAGAATTATGTTTTTAAGTTGTGGACCAAATTTTTCTTAAACAGTAAACCCTCGTTTAACCGACCTATATGGGTGTAGGGGTGGGTCGTAAAAGCCGATAAGTCGGTTAATCGAGGTACTGTACCAAAAATGCGTTACTGTGCTTAAGATAATCACTTAAGTTAGGTAATAATCATACATGAGAGTACAGGGAACAAATATATGTAAATACAGGTACAATATACAGTATACTGTAATAAAGAAATAATAATACGTACAGTACAGTCATCTTTATCTCAATCTCTCACTCACTCACTTTCCCTGTCTGTCATAAACAAATAAACTTACTGCAGTACAGTACTGTAGTTATTCTGAGTTTGAAGAAGACTCCACTTGAACTTGTGCTTGATGTTGTTTGGGGGAACTGATGTCCGACTTTGATGTGCTGGGAATGCTTACACCTGATGGAGTAGGTGTAGGTGTCCAACTCGACCTTGCTTGAAGAAGCTGTGAATTTTTAATTGTGTAAGCTTCTTCCGTTGCCTGCCGATAATCAATGACCTAGAGGTTCTAAACTGTTCATAATAATATTGTATAGCAGAATCTGATTGTTATGTTTAACAGTTGCTTACACGGTAAACAGCTGGCCAGACCCGTTACACGGGGGGTGGGTCGGTTAAACAAAGGTTTAATGTACGTACTGTATTTAGTGATATAAAAATACTCTTGAACTTGGGAGGTGATAATGTTTTAATTCTTGGAGGATTAAAAACTAATAAGTTCAAATCAATTTGTGTACAATGTTTTATATACATGTATGGAACCATTTATCTGGTGTCCCAGTATCCGAAACGCTTCAAAAACTGGCTTTGTTTAGAAATGAATTTCAGAATATAAAATGAGAGCAAATTAATTTCTGGGTCGAGTGGGGAAATTTCCAACCATTCCTCACCTGGAGAATAGTGGCAGGAAATGGGATGCTGGGCAACGGGATAAAGATGCTGCGCTAATACATAGATATCTACTTTAAAAAAGCATACCGCTGGTATTGTTGTGTTCCAAGCACCTGTTTATTCTTATTAATCAGCACCTCTTATTGATTCACTGTCTTAAGTTTAAAGCCCTCATTAAGCATGAATCAGATCACTTAACTGGTATTTACCCATTTTTTGGCAGTTATTTCAACAATCATCATAGTGAGCACAAATGGACAAGTTCCAGCACAATGTTATGTGGATAATGTTAGCACTGGTATGTTTGGAAGGGAGCACATATACAGATACTTCTGTCATAGTACATTTTATTATAGGCTAATACTCTTTGTCTCTTAAAATTTTTATTGTATATATGAGTGCATTTAGTTTTCTATTTGTTTGATTTGTTTTTCAGTAAGGTACAGTCTCGTTCAAGATTCTTCGAACACTGCTGGAGACAGCTGGCAACTCAAGGTCATTTGTTTACAATAGTACATTGTAAAAATTATGAATACATGTAAAAGTGATTGGTGATTGGTTACTTAATTCCCCGTTGCTTAATTTACTGGTTGGGCTTTGTTGTTTCGTATTATATTATACTACGTACTATAGTAAACAGACGGCCTTGAGTTGCCAGCTGTCTCCAGCAGTGTTCGAAGAATCTTGTAGGAGACTGTACATTATTTTTCAGATGTCTTAAAAACTGCATTTATACTGTACATATATTGTAGCTTACATGTTACTAACCAGTAACCCCCAGGAGCCTCTTCTCCCCAGTATTTTTCTTAGCTTGGGGCTTGACATACTCCAGTTGCAGGCTTGTGTTGTCCACTTGAATAATTCATTATACAGTAAATATTAAAAAAATTATGAGGCTCTGAGATCACTTTTCATTTTTAATCCCTTAGCTACAGACAAGTTCCAAGGTTTGACCCATCACAATTAACTTGCTGCTTTGATATTGTCAACACCTCACCTCCATTTGGTGTCCAAAAAAGGCCACCTGTTGGAATGTAGAGGAAAAATAATTGTTCTTCCATGTAATTCTTCAATTACAATTATGTGATACCACACATTGCTTGATGATGCACTAGAATGGGGTGGACGTTTTCCTGATATCAGGTCCCAGGGATAACGTCAGCAATCTTTCTTTGTCTCAAATTTATTGAGAGCTCTGTAATTGGCCTCCAGGTCTCTGTCATTCTGCAAAAGTTTTTAAAATAGTTTGTCTCAGCCAACTCAATCTGAACGTGTACAAATGGAGTGGGAATTTTTAAGTCTTGTATTTAACATTAGCCAAATAGATGTTGTCTTTCTTTTTCATTTAGTGAACATTATATATTTTTTGTCTCAATGAACAAAACTTGGAATTTAACAGAAGGGGCTCCATCATTAGTGTTATATGGAGGAAGTGAGATTCAGATGTCCATTTGATGGTGTTCAATAAGCTTTTGGCAGCCGTGCCACAATCCTAGCTGTGCCCTCCTGCTTAAAAACCCATAGAACTAGCTGGGGAATCCAGCATCGCATGGGTTTTCTTTTGATGGACAGCTATTACAGTACAGTACTGTATATATACTCTACTACATAGACTACTACTATTTACACACCATCAACCGGACTATCACTTATGTGGGCCAACCCCCCTGAATTTGTATTTTATTTATGATGTTCCATTTTTGAGAAGGAGAACTGACCACCCAAATCCCACCTGACAATTGTGGGGCCAACTTGCTAAATTTCATATTTTTTATTTTATTTTTATTTATTATTTCTAAAACTGTCGCCAGGGATCATGAAAACACACACACACACACACACAGATACAGTATATGCATTTGGAATATACTATTTTGGGATTTTCTACTCCTAAAAGATTTAAGTGTACTGATGTATATGAAAGAAAAAATATATATGCTAAATTCCAGTCAAAAACTATTCCCAATGGATATACACTAGCACTTTGGATGGTGAGTACAGATTGTGTTGTATTTTAGCTCATATTGTAGGCTTTTAATGCATGTTTCCTGTGGGCTCTTAGGTTCAATGGCACAGTATCTAGGTTGTCTAAGTGGTTTGTGTATGTGTTAGTTTGGGTTTGTGGTCCCTGGGTCCATATGCATTGGATCTTCATATTAGACCTTCTAGTTTTCTAGCAAGGTTTACCTTACAATGAACAGAAAACTTCAGTTCTCTTATTAACATAAACACCCAGATCTTTCTCACATCTTGTTTCATTTAGGGAAATGTGTTCATCATGTTAGTTGTAGCCACTAGTGAGAGCTATGTACATGAGCCACCTAGTTCTGGGCTCAATCATAAAATGGGATTTCAAGATCACTCCATTATTTTTTATATACTTATGTGCATGTTAATTTCATATGAAAATTGCTTAAAGATGATGATAACATCGTCACTGCTTCCTCAGGTTCTACGTGGACGGTCGTTCTCATCGGCTTCTGCTCCTAAGATTGCTTTGGGAGACAGTGGCTCAGTGGCACATCAGTCTGTTTTGAGAACCACTTCAGATTCAGCCAAAGTTTTACCTGAAATTAATAGACAAAGTCAGGCTGTACCTGCTGCCCGAAAACGTTCGAGTAATTCAATAAGCAAAGATGTGTCCACTGCAGAAGAATTCTTTCTTGATGTCATTCTGCAGAGACATGCCAAGGTGTGTGCTTGTACTGGTACTTTTGTCCCATGTGTAGTAAGTATGATATACTACTGTATTGAAAGACAGACAGATAATTAGATGCTAGTACTGTATACTGTATATAAGGAAGTCATTTCATAATATACATAAAGTATTACTGTTGTGTAATTTCTACATGATATCTTTGAAGGAAGTACAGTACAGTACAGGTATTCCTTGCTGTACATCAGACCTGCATTCTTGAAAAGTGAGACATTAAATGAAACTAATTACAGTATAGTAAATACAAATTTACCATAGACCTAATGATCTAAATAGGGGTTATATTCTTAGGGGACATTTCTTGTCAAAATTTTCTCACCAAAATATTAAATAACAAAATTAGAGGCTAGCTGTGGAAGGGAGTGGTGGAGTTAATGAAACGAAGTTGCAGGATTGCTTGCCTCTTCATCTAAAGATGGACATTGGAAATATTGGTCCAATGACAGCTGAAAAGCTCTCTTCTTCTGTTTTTACAGCTTCTTGCAGCATTTAAGATCATTGATTATTGTATTAATTTTTGAACTGTACATCTGCATTCTCTGTTTGGACCACACTCACTGAAAATAGCAGGTAGGCCAAGCATTCTGATAGTGTCGACGGATCATTCAAATGCTTCAAAGCACCTTCAAATATCTAATTTAACCCCTATATTAATACTGTTCTTTGGTGTTTTCTTACCAGAAGTGCAAATATATTTTGCCAGGCATTTTCCACTTGTGTTACAGGGTTCTGGTAAAGTTTTACTCAAGTGAATGTGGCTTAAAGGTGTAAACTGATGCTGGGAAAGGGACGTGGCAGAGGAATTTGGTGGATGTTCGCTATTCTAAGGCTACTCAAAGTATTCCTCTACTCTTTTGTATTAAATTTTTTCCTATAATCCACCAATAACTTACAGTACAGTATCATCAAAACAGCATACATTACTGTATAATAAGGTATACAGTATCTATAAAGAACTTAACCCTTAAACTCCAGGTTAGGGTGCTGCTGGCAGTACCCCGCCACGTAGGGATAAATTGAGAACAAATCAACTAAAAAAAAAAGAGGTGGGAATAGGCGTACGTTCTGGAACGTCACCCGGGGCGCTGGTCGGACGTTCTGGAACGTCACCCGGGGCCCTAAGAGTTAATCATTAATTTGTAAATATAAAAAAAATTATGCCTGGCGGGCTGTTGCACTGTATGAAGGCCACATTATATTAGTAAGTGATATAACAACACTTCCCAAGTTATTAATACGGAAATGGATAGCATCATTTCAGTATAGCTGCTTAATGGCTGCAGTCACTATATGGTTGCTGCCACATTTGTTTTGTCTAGCCTTATTTATATCACATCAAGACTGCTGGTCTTCCACATCTTGTACTGTACTTCAAACACAGTATTCAAATTATTATATTTTTCCCACTTCTCTAAATATTTGATATTATTTGTGATTCAGTCTTCTCTTTTTTATATTCCTTATTCTTTCTAAAAAATACTTTCAAGCCAAGATTTACTATAAAGCTTCACTTATAAGCAGGCATTTTCAAGGAAACTTCCTTTATATAGCATATATTTTTACATATCTAGAAATTTAATTTTTATCAGTGGGAGAAAGAAGCCTTTTTTTTTTTATGTATGCCATTCATTACTATATGTAGCAGTACTATTCATTTGTGGCACATTTTGTTGATTAATTTTCCACAGAAATTACTACTTGGGTGTCGTCTGCGAGATTTAGGTACAATGGCCGCCCATTTAGACTTCCCGTTGGTGTCATGGCTAAGAAGAGAGCGAAGTAGAGCATCCCGTGTTGATGATTTTGTAGCATCGTTAAAGCAGATACACAGAGACTTCTCATGGCCCTACCCATCCGTCCCAACATCTCATATTCGACGTTATTCTGGTAAAGGGCCATGTTTTTAGTCTGCAGTCCAAAATAGTTTTACTAGTTAAACGTCCTTTTGTTGGACAGCCGTAGTTTTTAGTTCTTGTTATGTTTGTAAAAATAAGTATCAGTAGCTGTAGTACTATAACCATTAGAGAATAAGGCTATTGTGTAAAGTTATCTAATCCAGTGAGTGAAAATTGCAAGGCTTCCAGTACTTTGGTGAGGCTACCCTGGTAGTAAATCCAACACCACCTTTCACCTGCTTGCTTAGAGCTCATAAATTGCTTCATATTTGAAATATAATTTTATATTTTCTTTATCAAGCCATTCCTATTATAAAAGAGGGTACAGTAACTGTGCCTGATCTAGAGAGAAAGTCACCTACTCAGGATTAATGTACATCTCCTCCCCAGTCTAGAAGGATGGGGCTGGTAGCCAAAAATAAAACAGAACAGAATATTTTTGACACATCGGGGATTATTGAGAGGTAGTTCTTCAGTTTCTAAGGTTTATTGGCATTGTTTGCCGATCATATGAGTCCAAGTTACTATGTTTGCAGGAATGACTAGCCTTGTGGCATCATGCAGTATATCTTTCAATATTGACAAAATATAGTTAGTTAATATTGAATAATATTACTGAAAATAAAATGTGCAAGTTATTATTTCATTTTCCCACATAGCTACATAATGTTCCTCACCTGTGAGGTGACTTGGTGTACAGATGACAATGCCACAGATACAGTCTAACAACATAATCATATTTTTAACAGACATAAATCTAAAGGACAATTAAATGTAGTCATTGACATACCCCCAGTTGGATTGCCTTGACTGTGGTGTTGCCCCATGTACTGAGTCGCCTGTGAGGTGAGGAACATTACATATGCAAGCGACTGTACATAATGTAATATCTTACAAAAATGAAAACCAATACAGCTTCTATTTTACTGGCATGTTTAGATGACTTTTATCTAAAAAAAATTTTTAAAGTTAGAAACATGGGGAGCTTTTTTATAGACGATTTTTTATGGGTATTATAAATATAGCAAATTAGTGTCCTGGAAGGGGAATTGGTATGGACATCTATAGTATTCTAATACTTTCTTAATGAAAATACTCTCACCACTGCAGATTACAACACCAAAACTCATTTCATATAAAATTTGAGCTTTTTAAATTTGCATTAAGTCTCACCAGTTTGGAAAAAGTCCACGGAGAAGTTAGTAACATTAACATTCAACAGAAAATGTAACAATATGTATATCACTTTTTTCAGCTTTACGGCTAAAAATCCTCTCTGCTACAGTAAAAAAAAAATTGCTTGATATACCATAAATATTAGCTATCCAATATGAGGTTGTATAATATATCCAGTAGCTTCATTACCCAATTATTTTGTTTTCCAACAGTATCATCTCTTCGTTCTGTTGCAAGCCCAAATGAGAGGTCAGTTCTTGTGGAGGAGAGGATGCACGGTCTCTCCATCACTGTGCCAAAGGCAAGTCCAGGAAGGATTATAAAATGCCCATATTCCTGTGTTTGTCTTTTTAGCTCTTTCAGGAGGTGATACATAGATCAACATACCTTTTACATCTAAGCTGACAGAATGAAGGCTCAGCTAGTTGATGGGATTTCCGGATCATGCACCATTTTTTGTGGCCTTCAGTTAGTGATAATAAATTAGAAATCATTGGCATTGGTACAAAAAATAGATGATACAGATATGTGTTAGAGTTAATCATCTGTGCTTTAGCAGGTTGCTTCCCTTGGTACGGGTGAGATTGGCGACAGCGGGTACTTGAGTCAAGCAACGGGAGACACTCACACAGTAACTCCCCAGCATGGCCCCCACTCTCCTACTAGCCCATATTCTATATCGGAGGTGGTTCCTCGACAAGCTCTTCTGCTGCCACAGTCTCCCAGAGCTGGTCAGTGTATGTTAGTTCTAAAGACTTATCATTAGAGTAAATTAATTACTGTATCAATAAAGTCATATGAATTATTTTTAGTACCCTACTGTACAGAGAAGGGATATGATGTAGATCATCCAAAATACCAGGTGTTGAAGAACTCACTTATTTCTAAGGCTTCTGTTATCATATGTAATCTGTAATCACTCGGGAACTGTTGGTAGCACACCGATGGAAAATAATAGAAAAATATAAAACTATTACAACCATTAAGATCTTACTAAGAAATTGTAGAAGTTTCAATTAACCCTCAGCTCCCAGGTGACGTTCCAGAACGTCTCATCAGCGCACCCCAGGTGATGTTCCAGAACGTCTGCCTATTCCCGCTTTTTTTTTTTTTAGTTGATTTTTCTCGATTTATCCCCGCGCGGGGAGGTACTGCCAGCAGCACCCTAACCCGGGACTTAAGGGCTAATAAAGAAGAATACAGTAATCTCCTCATTAACTGGAATAATTAGTGCAGAGTGTTTCCGGGTATTGAGAGAATTTCTTTCATCTCCGGAAAGAAATGCGCATCTACAGAATTTTTTCAGGCATTGGTGAATGTTTTTGCATCTAAGCTACACATCTGGCACAGAGCACCATTGGTACGGGGGTTTAGCTGCAGTCGGACAGCCACAGAGCGGTACAGTAAGTCCTCGTATAATGTCGGCGTGCTTAACGTCGTTTCAGTACCATGTCGCTTATCTTTAGATACCAAAAATTCATTTAACGTCCCGATGACTCAGTACAACATCGTTTAGTGTCATCACGGACTACTTTTTACGGAGCAAACAACAACAGAGGAGGAGGAGGAAACGGCAGCGGAGAAACCCCAGTCAGAGCAGGAGGAGGAAGAGCCTGCCGCAGAGTCAGTGACTCACCACCCTCCTCCGCTCCCGCCCTCCTCCGCTCCCACCCTCCTCCGCTCCCACCCTCCTCCTCTGCTCCTGCCATACTCCTCCCCTCCCGCCATCTGCCTCCTCCGCTCCACTAACCACCACACACTTGCTCTACCACCTCCGCCCATCGGTTAGTACCAATACAAACTTAGTACAGGTTGAACCTCCCTAATCCGGCACCCTTTGGACCTGACCTGTGCCGGACTATAGAATTTTTCGAACCACAGGTGGTCTTTGTAAAATACATAGTATTATTGATGCGCCATTCTGCGCATCATATTTAAAGTTTTGCACCTAATGTTTCTCTGGGCACGCTACACTGTCCTAAGGGCAAAGTTGTACTGTACATGTACAGGGGGCACTCAAAATAATGTACTAAATGATTACTAAATTTTTTGTCTAGTGCAAACTACAGCATGTTTATAGTCAAATTAATCACTATCTTATAAGAATTCCAGCAATGTAAATTATATTCTCCCCGGTCACTTCTGTGACATTTTATAAGCAAAAAACATAAACTCAATCTAAAGGACACAAATAAACAAATAAATACTTCACTAGACCTTCGGCACCAACTGTCAAACATGTCCCCCCCATTTTCCCAGCCAGGCTTTGGTGTTCTAGGCTTAAGGTTTTTATCTTATATAATGTCACAGACTAAAGTTAGGATAATATAATTTGTATTGCTGGAATCCTTGCAAGACAGCGAATAATTTGAATATAAACATCATATATTTTGCACAAGAGATAAAAAATTTTGCTCTTTGTATGTCAAATGCGAGCTATAGCATGTTTATATTCAAATTAATCACTATCTTATAAGAATTCCAGCAATGTTAATTATATTCTCTCATGTCAGTTTAGTGACATTTTATAAGAGAAAAACTTAAAGTCACTCTTAAGGACAGATAAATAAATAAGCACTAGACCTTGGCATCAACTGTCAAACATATCACCTCACCTCCCTCTCCCACCCCCCTCCCACCCCCCTACCCTCCATCTTCCCAGCCAGTAAACAGACCATTTCACGTCCCATAATTTTAGCTGTGTTGATTTATGAATGTTTGTTTAAACATAATACTACAAAAAACAATGTTTTGTTTATTCTAGGAGATGGGCTGAGGTGCATCTGGGTAGACTCTCAGTCTTTTTAGTATTTTGTGTTTCTCTCAAGTACCAAACTAAATTATTCCATTGAAACAACACTTTGATTTAGTGCGAATTCGGTTTAAGTGCTTGGAACGTATCTCATGTTGTATCTCGTGTTATATCGAAGTTTTACTGTACAGTGTAATTGTAATAAATGAAAATAGATAAAAAATAATTCTCATTCTGCATTTAAAATGACAAAATAGTTACTGTACCTGTACATAAATTGGTGATGTTCACCTGTAAAGAAGAAAAAAATATCTGTACAGTAAATGAAATAATAAAATAAATATGCTTAGGAGGCATATTAAGGGTAAATAACAAGTGAAATATTACAGAAACACTTGAAATACCTAGGAACGCACCAAACTCCACGAGGACCAGATGTAAACACAGGGTATGCCGAACCATGGATACTAGAGCCGATGGGTACTTGCGGCCATCTGGCAAACTAAAATTTTGCCGGACGACTGGAGGTGCTTGACAATAGAGTACCGGATTAGGGAGGTTCAACCTGTAGTTGTATATGCATGCACTATTTTCTATAGAAATGGCAATGATTTTCTGTATATGTAATGTATTTCATGGGGCAAAGGGAGGCTCAGGAACATAACTCCCATATTTTATCTAATTCTTATGGGGAAAATTGATCCACTTCACGTTATTTCGTATAACGTCATGTTTTTAGGAATGTAACCCCGACATTAAGCGAGGATTTGCTCTATTTATTTGTGCAAACACTGCTGTACGTTTACTGTACAATAAACTCTCTAACCTGTACTCACTTAATCCGGATCCCTTTGCAAAATGAACTGGGATCCAGCACCGAACACATTTATCCTCAACCCGGAAAAACAAGGAAATTCCGGTTAGTATAGAGGAAAGTTCATGTAAGTGGTGGCTGTCGCTGTGACGGAATAGTCGCAGAAATACTGAAAGTATCAGAACAAGTCACCGTGTTGACGGTGACCCTGTTGATCAACGCAATTATGAAAAAATATATTGTTAGTGGGGCCAGGTATAGTAGAAAAAGTAGCTGCACACATACTATTTTAATATCCAAAGTGTGTCAGAGGTAGCTATCCAAATCATGAGCCATTTTCTTCCACCAAAAAAAAAAAGTTTCGGGATACAGTACAGTATCCCCTTAATTGACAACTATTTAAAACTTTTCATGGTGGTAAAATTGTTGGTCTTTTGTACAGAAAACTAATAGACTAAGCAAGTACATTACTTAGTTTTAATTGAAATTAATCTAACAGGTGATACAGCAAGTGTCATGAGTGAAGAAGGCACTACATATGGTGATGACACATCCAGTATATGTGGAGACTGGAGTCCTGAAAGTGGTGATCCAACACGGGATCTTCTGTCTAGACCTCCAGATCCTCCACCCCAAGCAACACCCAGACCACCCCCCCATGCAGAAGTTCAGCTTAGATACTTACTGCAGGTATATTTATGTATAGCCAATTACAAGTGACAAAAAGACTTCTTATAATGGATTCAATTTTTTTTTTGTAAAAATTATATATATATATATATATATATATATATATATATATATATATATATATATATATATATATATATATATATATATATATATATATATATATATATATATATATATATATATATATATTTGTTTTTTGTTTTCTATAATAAGATTTTTTAATGGAGGGTTAACTTTCCTTGCAGGGTGTGGGTCGCATTAGCTGTCGAAACATTTAGTATCATTTTTTTTTCTCCCTGGCTTCAGTTACGTGAGTCACTTTGTGAATGATGACTCCATTATTGAAGGATTGATCCTAAAATCCCATTTTGTGACTAAACTTAGAACTAGGTGGCTCAGATCCCTCATTCCTTGTGTGAGTTAGTGTGGAAGTCTGGTTGGAGTGACTGGAAGTTGATATCTGAGGGTAGAACTCAAAATAAAGCAAGTCACTCGTGATGTCATGTAGTGTATTATAAGGAAAACTTGTGATTCTACAATCTCTCTCGGGTTGCATATGAGAGGACAGACTAATCATAAGCCTTAGCCATTAATGTTAGGTCTCCTGGGTTGAGATCAATGGTTCAGTGAGCCCATTGCATGATTTGCGTAGTCCTGGACTCAGCCATAAAATGGAATTTCAAGATTACACTTGCATTTCTTGTATATTATGTTTTAGGTTATTTAGTTATTAAACTTTTCCCAGTTGATGCATTTTACTCAGTTTTAGAAACTTCTTATTGGCAGCAGTTTAAGTTTATGATATTTATAACTATTAAAAAGTTTTGAAATTTGGTGCAGGTACTTCTGGAGGCTGGGTGCCTGGAGTGGAGTGTGGTGGTTGCTGTGGTGCTACGAGATGCCCTGGCTGTGTTGAGAGTGGTGACACTGGCTCGGGCCTCCGACATCCCTGCTCAAGTCATAACTAGACTTACATCAGGCCTACAAGACTTGTTACATTTTACAAACACTGAATGGTGTGCAGTTCTATTGCAGTATTACTTATTAATTGATGATTTGATAATTTGAAGATAAGGGGCTTTGAAACCCCATTCTTTGTACCACTTTTATCATTGAATGACCATATTTCCCATCATATTAGACACACCTTTTATTTAGCAGAGAACATAAGTTTACATTAAGGATGTATAATGTCACCATGAGTGTTCAGTGTTTCCATGGATGGGGTAGCAAGAAAGGTGAAAAACATGATTGTTAGAGAAGGAAGCAAGTTTGATAAATAGGAATACAAGATGCAGATGACAGGTGGTTCAGCTGCTGTTTGCCAAGGATACTGCTCAACTGAGTAGTTCAGAAGAAAATTTACAATTGTTAGTGAATGAGTTTAGAAGAGTGTGTACTAGGAGAAGGTAATTATGAATGTGAAAAAGAGTAAAGTAATGAAAAACAGTTGGAGAAAAGAATTGAATAAATAAATATCAACTTGAATGGAGATAGGGTGGAGGAATTGAGGTCCAGTACAGTATTTACGATATCAGAGTGGATGTATCAGGAAACTAGGTAAAAAAATTTAAACATTAAAAAGCAGAGGGAAGAAAGGTAATATGTGCATTTATAAATTAATGGAAACAGAGAGAACTTTCTGAAGAAGCAAATATGGGGATCTGTTGAGGAGTTCAGACAGATTCAGATTTACCCCAGGAACTGTTGAGCTGACATTTATTGAGTATACTGGAGAACATAATGTTGGGATCACTACGAAGCAAAGAATAAAAAATGTTGACTTTAGATGGAGATAGGGAAAAGAATGTGGTGTTGAACAATGAAATGACCAGGATTTACTAAGGTGGTCTGAACATACTGAGAGAATGGAAAATTAAAAATGGCAGTAGAGAGGAAGAGCTGAAGAAGGTGATGGAAGGATAAAATGAATGAATCACAGTACAGTAAAGCCTCCGATAACAACGGGTCGACCAACAACTTTTCATATTTAAAACCCAAGTTAATTTAGGACCCAATTCAATTTACGTCCTTATTTCATTCGTATTTACGATCAAAATATAATAAAAATAAAATAAAATTACATTTTCATATAAATAATAACTAAATCCCGACATGTATTATAAAAAAAAAAATTATTGTAAAAAAAATGAAGAGCGCCTTGCGCAAAGAAGCTGCCTGGCTAATGAGAGGTAAACAACAGTCGGAGCTTGGTGGGCCTTTTGTTTTCACGCATCTGGAACGGAGAAAAACTTTCTCAAGTTTCTTACATGATTTTTGCATCCCTATTCAACATGAGCAAGAGAGCAAGTGATGGTAGTGTTGGTTCAAAAGCTAATAGAAAGTGTATTAGCTTAGCCGAGAAACTAGAAACTAGATGTGTTAAAACGATCTGAAAAAGGTGAGAGGTCTATGGAGCAAGCAATGAACATATTTTCTGAAGTGGATCCATTAACAGAACAAAGCATTAAAATTTAAATAAATGCAAATGACCTCTACATAAGGATGTATAAAGAGAAAAGAAAGCAGCTGTGCAAGGTTCTTTCGACAGCTTTATTATTCGAAGGCCTAAACCATCAACTTAAGCTACACCACCAAATTCAGCATCATAAGCAGCTTCAACTTCAGGTTCAATAACAGTTTCAACAACAGCTTTATGGAAAGCTATAGCTTCAGCCAGAGTTGAACCTACAGCTTCAGCCAGAGTTGAACCTGATGACTTCGTCATCTGAATAAAAACTCACACAATATTCATAGGCTGTCCTTATGTTTTAGACTTAGCCACCATTGATGAGTAGTATTTTTGTTTTACATTCGTAAGTATTATTTAAAACATAAATGAACAGTAAATAAGTGTTGCTTTCATATTCATATGTAGAGAAATGACGATATGTTTTCACATGTACGCACTTACTGTTCATACGTTGGCGTTCCCAATCGTCTCGCTTTATTTCTTTACCATTAGTGGTTAACTACTTCTAGTGTTCCATTTATAAACATTATATAACATTACTTAAAACATACATACAGGCATTCAATTTTTTGAAATTAAGTTCACTACAGCTACAACCAGGGTCTTATTTCTTCAGTTTCTTATGTGGAACCATCATCACTCACGAAAACAATGCTGTCTTGTCTCCTCTTGTGTGTTTTAATATTCTACGTATTATTAATGAATTGCATTGTTCATTTCACATATATAAACATTAATTCAATCAAATACATATTCAGTAATAAACACTAATGAATCTTTTGTACATATTCTTAAGATAAATGACTTTTCTTGAGTGCGCACGTTCTGTATATATTGGCGTTCCACTATCAGTCTCACTTTTTCTTTAATATCAGTGGTTACTTCTACTTTACATTAAATAACATTAATTAAAACATACATATTTTTTTTTACATTAATCTTACTACAACAACAACCAGGGTCTTATTTTTTTCAGTTACAAGTGGATAACTGGCATTATGGGTGTAAACACTGACAACAATGCCGTCTCTTATCCTCTTGTGTGTTTTAATATTCTACGTATTATTAATGAATTGTTTTGTTCATTTCGCATACGGTATATAAAGATTAATTCAATCAAATACATATTCAGTAATAAACAATAATGAATCTTTTGTACATACAGTATTCTTAAAAAGATAAATGACGCGGTATCCTTAAATGCGCACGTATGTATATGTTGGCGTTCCCAATCCATCTCTTTTTTTTTTTTGCCATTAGAGGTTAGCTACTTCTATTGTTCTATTTATTAACATTAGATAACGTTACTTAAAACATATATATTAATTTTTTTACATTAATTTTATTACAGCTACAACCAGGGTCTTATTTTCTCGTGTAGAACTATCGTCCCGGACTACCGGCTGTAAACACAAACGAAAACAATGGCGTCCCATCTCCTCTTGTGCGACCATTTTATTATTAATTTATATTGTATAAGGTGCATTCAAAAACATTATTTAAAGAATATATCTTGATAAAATCACACGGGAAAAGGGAAACAACTGAGCACCTTAGCTTTCGTCTTTATTCAAGACATCTTCAGTTGCCTCTGAAGATGTCTTGAATAAAGACGAAAGCTAAGGCGCTCCGTTGTTTCCCTTTTCCCGTGTGATTTTATCAAGATTTATCTTATCCACGTTTTCATTGTGGATCTACATGAATTAAAGAATATAGTTTGCAATTATCGTTAATTTTATTGTTTTGGGGGGGAAAAGGGGGTAAAAAGCCACACAAAATATATGAAAAGGTCACACTTGGGAATGCATCTCATATATTATTGCTTTATTTTAATGGTATTTATTGATTCGTGATAACACGATTCACCTTACATTGCAATATTGGAGGACACATTAACGTCGTTATTCGAGCTTTACTGTACTGTACTAGGATAATGTAGGATGGATGCCCAGAAAGTTAGAGACCATGTGAATGATGGAAGAGTATTGTACTGAAAAGTTTATGGTTAAGTGACAGCAGTTAGAATTCCTTGATGAAGATTAGTGAAATAAGTTTGTTTTTGTTCATGATTGAGGCCATCCGACAGCATAGTAAGAAAGGGCTTAATTAGATAGTTACTTACCACTTTGTTGTCAGTTGAATTTTTAATAGATGAAACTTTTATACTCCATATTGGAAAAATAAATTAAATTAATGATAATGATTATGAAAAGTATATATATATATATATATATATATATATATATATATATATATATATATATATATATATATACAGTGGGGTATGCTATAACGAATCTAATTGGTTCTAGAACCTTGTTCGTTATAGCATTCGTTCGTTATAGGATTAATCTGTTCCAGGCCCCCAAATACAACCACTTAACACTGAAAAATATAATATAAAATTGTAAAAAAGTGCATAAATATGCATCTAAACCCCTGAAATAACCAATATCATTAATACTTGTAATAAAAAAACAATAAATTAGTAAAAAAAAAAAAATAAAATAATGTTCGTTGTAGGAGTTTCGTTCGTTATAGCATTCTCAATTTTATAGGTAAAACCGTTCGTTATAGGAATATTCGTAGTAGGATCCGTTCGTTATAGCATACCCCACTATATATATATATATATATATATATATATATATATATATATATATATATATATATATATATATATATATATATATATATATATATATATATATATATATATATATTGAATTATGATTTATTTATTTATTTTATTTTTTCTCTCCAGCTTGGGGTACCAAAATTTTCTTGGAGCTATAATGAGTCAAGTTAAAGTATTGGAAAGGCTAGCCAGTACAAGAGAGATATCTAGGACTCCAAGTCCCCCTTCTTCTCGTCCTCCCTCAACTAGCCATGAATCCGAGCCTTCACCCATCCAGGAGGCCTCCCTCAGGTCTTCCGTGCAAACTTCATCTCCACCACTTTCTCATCAACAAAACCAACAACACCAATCATTAAAACAGCAACAGCAGTTGCAAAGTCAACAGCCTGTTCAACAATCACAACAGTTGCCTCAACAGCAACAGATTCAGCAGCCATTGCCACATCCCAGCCTACCACGAATGTCTTTACTACCATGCCAAACATCAGTTGCAGGGGAAACTCTACCCGAGGAGACATTATCTCAAGCTTCTGAAGAAGGCCTTTTGGATACAGAAGGTGATGTTACTCCTGTTGAGGAAGGGGGTAGTGCTGCATGTGTGATTTCATAGTGTATGAATTGACTACAGCTCACTGAAGCTTTAAAAGTAAAAGTGACATTTACTGTATCTGATTTTTTTCAGGTACATAATGTGCAGTTCTGTTGTGTTTTGTACATATTAAAATTGTTTGCCCTCTTGAAGTTGAGGCAAACATCCAATACAAAATTTGATAATGTGGTTCCATAATCCTCACCATCACTATTGCCTCAGTTGTTGTGAGAGAATGTGCTTGTACCTTGTCAGATTTGACTAAAAGAAGACATTTTTAATTATTGCTATTCACATTACTGAATTTAGATGAAGTTCGGTAACACCTGCTGGTACAATTTGAATAACAAGATCAGTGATGTTAAGTTATAGACTCACATAACAATCATAACACTCAAGTGTCAGTGTTTTGTTAATGCAAGAAGAATTAGCATTCAGCCATTTGGTGTTTTTATCACTGAAAGAGGATGTGTGAGGACCAGCTAGCTTTTTCAAGACACCTCACAGTGATTGATTGGTGCTTGCTGCCATAACTCCCAGTCCTTTATAAATGTGCGTTAGTTCCCAGTTGGCTGTCTGAAGGAGACTTAATAGTCTTTTTGTGATACCTTTTAACCCTGATTTTCATAAGAACATCAAAATCTTGAAGTAACTCAAAGTTTTGTACAATGAGAACATGATGCTTTTATTTTCCATATTCTGCCAGTTTCAAGCCAAAAATTTACTGAATTAATTCAACACATTTGCTCATAATTAATGGCTTGTAGAATATGGTGTTGATAATGAAAACCCTGATGATGTAGATTAGTTCTAGCAGAGATATTGGTGCTGTTACATAATTGTTTATAGTGATGTGAAAATCATGGATGTTTCATATCTAGAATTAAATTCACTTTGCATAGAAGTTGATATACTGTATTCTGCTGCAATATAGGGAAGCCTGTCAACTAATATTGTTTTGTAAAGTCTTCAACAAAATATTCTGTACCTTGTCTGCTATAGTAACTACAATGTGTTTAAGGAGAGCCTTAGTTAAGGGATTCATATTATAAAGTATCCTGAAGTAGAATTTTTTAACATAATTAAGAAACTTTCTTGTGTTTACACAGTGTGCTCAACCATTAAAAGCTAGATAGGAAGTTTAGAATATTAACAAAGAAACAAACAGGGAGCAGAGAAGTAAAAGAAAGCTGTGTCAGGTAATGCAATCCAAAATATATATTTTTTCATTAAAATGAATATAAACACTGAGAAAAATATAAAAGATATTTTTGTGTTTTTCAGAGCATTGGAGGTGTAAAAGAGAGGAATGATACTAAGGCTATATGGCTAGTGATAAGGCAATAAGATAATGATAAAGCAAGGGACAGTGTGACAGGTTATGGGATAGCATACCAGTAAAACAAATCCACTCTTAATACATTACTGTCATATTGTAAGATTGAAGAGATGGAATGTACCGGGTACCTAATAGCAGAACCTATGACCAGAGGGAAGGGGAAAGTCTTGGGGTTGAGGGGGAACATCACTCCTTATGTTGACCATCTAGAGATGCACCTCTGAAGTAGTTAGGCCATTTTTTTTCCTAACAAATGGCTCAATCCTGGCATGGTTTCCCCAAATAAGGTCCCTGTTCTGGTAAAGCTTCCCTCATGCCAATATTTGGACAAGAATTCCTTAAGGTCTGTTTCTCTGACTTATGGTTTATTTTTCTTCTGATATTTCCTGTGGTTGGACTATTGTTTAATTTTCATCTCTGACTGTGGTCTATCTTCAACAACTAATAATGTCACTTGGCATCAGATAAGCTATCAAGATCTTTAATATCAGACTGGGTTAGATGTTGAAAGATGTTTACAAAAAATAAGAAAGTAAATTTAGATAATTGAATGTTGTAGGGTTTACATATTTCACTTGGCTCCTAAAAGAGGTTCTCTTTACAATAATCTCTCCCTATTTAAGGGGTAGGCTGCACACCTTCCACCTCCACACACACACACACACACACGGGGATGATTATATTATGATAGTAGTTTGGTATAGGTATCACTAAATTAACAAACTGATACCTGCTGCAGTGGTACATCCTGAATGCTGAGCACATAATTCAGTAACTCCATCATGAAATGGTATTGGATATTATCAGTACATATTTACACTTGATGTTTTACAGTGGGAAGTTCACATGCACAGTTTAGTGGTAATTGGTATAAAACATTTCTGATGATGAAAATGGAAAAAAAAAGTTTACAGAGCGTCAGTACTTTATTGTCTTTGTCTGGGTTTATGTAGAATGTATATGATTGGCAAGATGGCATTACAAATGTTGGTGGTAGGGATTCCCAACTTTTAACTCATTTCATATTTGATTAAGTGTTAGAGCAGAGACAAGGACACTACTGTTGAAGGGAAGTGAAGGTTAGTTTTATGGTGATACAGAACTAGAGTTATTTTAAAAACCACAATTCTCTTTGTATGGAAAATATTAATTGCAGGGAATAGAACTTTCAATTGAACATCAAATTAAATATATTTTTGATATTGTTTACATTTGACCATTGCATATTAGTACTTTTAACAGTGGTAAAAGCCTATATTCTAATATATATATGAAATAATAATAATGGGTAACATCCACAGTTATTATATAAGAGGTGTACTTGAAGCTTCATGGCCGGCAACATCAACTGGCTTGTGTTACGTTCTCCAGCAGGCTTTTTTTTTTTTCCCTCCCACATTCAAGTCAAGGGAGCATTACAGTCTCTTGCATAATACTGTTTTCTGCTTTTTGTAACTGAGTGATAAATGTAGAATCTACTTCATAATATTTTTTTTTTATATGTAGAGAAACGGCTAAGAATCAAAATATGTGCTAAAGAATTATCACTTACCAAATAATTAAAGCCACCGCATTCTCTCATTAGGGTATGATATTATACTAAAATACTACAGTGGTCCCTCGGTTAACGAGCACAATGCATTCTAGAAGGTTGCTCGTTAATCGAAATCTTCGTTAACTGAAACCATTGTTTCAATGGGTTTTGGGTAATTGGTTCCAGCTCACCGAAAATTGCCTAAATTCAACAAAAAGGGTAGAAAAATACACTTACTTTGAGGTGTGTATGTAGAAGGCTCCTGGATGATGATGATGATGATGATGATGGGAATTAGAATGGGGGTGGAGGAGAAGGGAGAAGAGAAGGCATTGGGGTGGAAGAGAAGTCACCCCATGGTGCCATTTCACCCATAAAATTTTAGTTTTCTTGGTGTAATTCAAGATTATTTTCTTTAAATCAACACTGCATTGCATTATATATTGTCAATATGTAAAATAAATTTCAAAATGATCAATAATTTGCTTGCAAACACAGAAAAAAAAAAGAGTTTAGTTGAAGAGTGTCTCAAACAAGATGTTACCTCCACTGAAAAGACACAAAGACTGATGCCTGTATGGTGTGTTGAGAGGCTGGATGGCGCGCATAAAACTAGTTTCATTACCTTCAATTATGTTCAATAATTGTTAAAATGACTAAAAAAATTATTATTAAACTTTTAAAATTATTGAATAGTATGAACTTCTTGTTATTTGCTAAAATGGTAAGGAATTTAAGCCCTAGAACCGATAACTGTATTGGCGGACTAATACTACAGCTGGTGGACCGCCAAATGCAAGCGAAAACATGTTGAGGTCGGCTCGTAAGAAACTCGTTAATCGAGGGATTGCCCGTTAACTGAAGTTAAGAATCTTATGGAAGGTAACTCGTTAACCGAAATCTCGTTAACCGAGGCGCTCGTTAACCGAGGGACCACTGTACGAGGTTTAAGATTATAGAATGATAACTGGGGAAAGAGGGGCAGGGAAGTAGAAGACAATAATAATATTTGAAACAAGGGGAACTATCACAGATGGAATAATGTAACTGCCACTGAAAAGTACTTACGGTTTGAGAATGTGTTACTCACCAGGTGTGCCATGTTATACTTAGGTAGAAATAGTGTTTGGTTTTCAAGATTAACTTTTACAGATGTTTCTTTGAATAAGTTAAACACTTGTCAAAATGCATTTTATGATTACTCTTGTCTATAACTTTTTTAATTAATTATACTGTACCAAAGGTCAAACTAACCTGAAACAAAATTTGTTGTTAAAGTGATGTACAGTGGTTTTTCATAGTTTATTTTACTGGCTCACTGTTAAGCAGTAAGAAAGAAAATATTTGAGGATTCTACATTCTTTGACAGTGGGAAGCTGTGTATTCTGAAAAATTACAAAGATTTTCCAGTCACAAGGAATGAAGATACATACACACTGTGCTGGTCATTGCATTATGGAAGAGTCAGTTTTACTAATATATCAGACCACAGAAACTGCAGTACAATAACTGTATTTGTTCCAATACCTATTATTCTTTTCAGATTGATCATGAATTATGTTTTGTTTTCTCATAATTTGTTGCCTTAATCTTATTTGTGAGTCACACATTACAGATGCACAATGATGTATATTATATGCCCCTCCTAGAGCAGTTTGATATTTGGTTGGGCTTTATTAAGCCATATTTAAGACTGCTTTGAAAAGAGGAACAAAACCCAGAGGATACAGACTAGCCTACACTGACACCACAATACCAAAGTAAACCTGTAAATACATGTTCTCCACTCACCTAAATTGCAGTATTCTTTAGCTTAGTGCCAGACATATGGAGTAAATCATATATTACCATATTGTACTATACTTGTCAGTTCTTGGCATATATCTGTGAGCAAGATAATTTGTAATTGCAGATTGAATTATGATCTGTTTGAGCTGTAGGAAAATAGTTTTTTTAAATTTTTAAGTTTTATTTTATATATAGTAAACAGTGCCAAAAAGTTTTATTCCTGTTTTGTATTTAAATATTTTTTATTTGAATGTGTTATTCTTAATGCCACTGCCATTTTCTTCAGGTGAATCAAGTACTGTATTTAAAATAAAACCTCTCAAAAGATTTATAGGTATTGCAATGTTCAGACTTAAATTAAGTGTTCAATATGAACCAGTACTAGAATTCATTATTTTATGCTATTCTTTTTTGCACTGTTAATTGAGCTTTATAGCAAAAGTTACATCACCATGGACTTCATTGCTGTGCCACCTAGCATGTGTCTTGTAATAATTTTGGTAGCATCATTTCTTGAAATGCTTCAGCCCTCAGAAATTCATATAGCCCAGTCATTGTGTTCATTTTGTGTGGCGTATCACACTCCTATGTTCCCTCAGACTGCGAAAAGCATTTCTTTTATCGATAACATAGCCTTTTCCTAAGCTTGTACAGTACAAATTTTAAATCTTTTTTCCACAAAATTACAGTAGTTCTCCTTTTCATTTAACCAGAACTACAGTAATTTTAAGATTTTTTAATATATTTAACAGTACTGTAGTTCTTTCCTCTCTACATATTTCATGCTTTACAGATGTGTACCTGATGCATTTAGCATTTTTTATCCACACAGCAGAATAAGAACAAATACCCCACTGTGCAGATTTGTAGCACATTCCGCCCTTCAGATCTTCCCACTTACCTGGGATCTTAATTGTCTTTCACTGATTATCTTGCTGCATTTGAGTTTCCATATTCACCTTTATTAAACTCTTTTCTCAAGCACCATAATTAATTCCCATCTTCTCCTTCCTTAACAATTTATCATCACTTTCAAACACAAAACTCAGTCCCTATTTGCTGTTGTCTCTGTGCCCTTTTTTGAGTGATTAAGTATTTGGTAAAACTCATCTTAATAAGTTGGCAAGAAGAAGAGCATAATGTATGGAGAGCAATTTTTGCAGCCTTCCTTGTGTGCCATCATGTTTGGTTGCACTCCCCAACCTTCTAATCTGTATCATAACTTATAATCTGCTCATAAAAGCATTAAATAAAAACACTGAAATTCTTCTTACATGATACACTTCTACATTTATCTTAAGCCATTCATATCTCTAGTTGATATTATGAAAATATATTTTTTTTTCAAATTTTTCTGATAGTATTCATTTGTTATCCCTGCACATCATTGAGAGAGAAATTGCCAATGCCCACCATTTCTCATTTTGACATTCTTTTAAATTTTCACTATATATATATATATATATATATATATATATATATATATATATATATATATATATATATATATATATATATATATATATATATATATATATATATATATATATATATATATATATATATCAAAATACTAAGTTAAAGTGTTATAAAGCATGTTAAAGT